GCCTACACTAATGCCTACACTTAGAGGATGGTGGTTTTAATCTTCATATTGAACTGCTACTCATATGGTGTAGTGAACTGGCATGCCTATACAACGCATCAGACAGACTTGATTATGAGCCAGTCAAGAAATAAGTATAACTGAAAAAGTATCATGGGTTTTGAAATATCCCATTCTCAGGATATACTCATAAATACTGCCATTTTGAAATATGAAGGTGCCTCAGTGTTTGTTTTTGTAAACAGTCACAATACTGCTCGAACAGTTCATACACTTCACTAACACCTTCCACCCCAACCTTAAATTTACCTGGACCATCTCTAACACCTCTCTCCCCTTCCTGGACCTCTCTGTCTCCATATCGGGCAACCACCTCGAAACCGATATTCATTTCAAGCCCACCGACTCCCACAGCTACCTAGAATACTCCTCCTCCCACCCACCTTCCTGCAAAAATGCTATCCCCTATTCCCAATTCCTTCGCCTCCGCCGCATCTGCTCCCAGGATAAGGCATTCCACTCCCGTAAAAAAACGCCCTCAACCGTGTCTCCCACATCTCCCGCACCTCATCCCTCACACCCCGTCCACGCAATAAAAACCAAAAAAGAATCCCCCTCGTCCTCACGTACCACCCCACCAACCTCCGGATCCAACGCATCATCCTCCGACACTTCTGCCATCTGCAATCCGACCCCACCACCAAAGACATCTTTCCCTCCCCACCTTTATCTGCTTTCCGGAGGGACAACTCTCTCCGTGACTCCCTTGTCCGCTCCACACTCCCCTCCAGCTCCACCACACCCGGCACTTTTCCCTGCAACCGCAGGAAGTGCTACACCTGCCCCCATACCTCCTCCCTCACCCCCATCCCAGGCCCCAAGAAGACTTTCCACATCAAGCAGATGTTCACCTGCACATCTGCCAATGTGGTATACTGCATCCGCTGTACCCGGTGTGGCTTCCTCTACATCGGGGAAACCAAGCGGAGACTCGGGGACCGCTTTGCAGAACACTTACGCTCGGTTCGCAACAAACAACTGCACCTCCCAGTCGCGAACCATTTCAACTCCCCCTCCCATTCCTCAGACGACATGTCCATCCTGGGCCTCCTGCAGTGCCACAACGATGCCACCCGAAGGTTGCAGGAACAGCAACTCATATTCCGCTTGGGAACCCTGCAGCCCAATGGTATCAATGTGGATTTCACAAGTTTCAAAATCTCCCCTCCCCCCACCGCATCCCAAAACCAGTCCAACTCGTCCCTGCCTCCCTAACCTGTTCTTCCTCCCACCTATCCCCTCCTCCCACCTCAAGCCGCACCTCCATCTCCTACCGACCAACCTCATCCCGCCCCCTTGACCTGTCCGTCCTCCCTGGACTGACCTATCCCCTTCCTAACTCCCTACCTACACTCACCTTTCCTGGCCCCATCCCCGCCTCTTCGACCTGTTTGTTTCCTCTCCACCTATCCTCTCCTCTATCCCTCTTCTATCCGCCTCCCACTCTCTCCCTATTTATTTCAAAACCCCCTTCCCCTCCCCCTTTTCTGATGAAGGGTCTAGGCCCGAAACGTCAGCCTCTCTGCTCCTATGATGCTGCTTGGCCTGCTGTGTTCATCCAGCCCTGCACCTTGTTGTCTCACAATACTGGTCTTCCCATTCTTCCCTGTTTATGTTTTCAACTGGAACCATTCTCCATCAGGTGTCCTTTGGAAGTGGTATCATTAAGTCTAATTTAAAGTGTCTCACTCTTTTCTGTCCAGACCACACGACTGTACAATGATCCTGACTTTCCAAACTAAAACCCTTGAACATGTTGTCATTACCACTCTCCCCCACCACCCACAAGTCATGCCTATATCCGTCATTCCATGATCTACTCTCAAATCATTTCTCCACTACCAGAGCACTGAAAAAGATCTAAACTTGCAAATGACTTTCTTTTTGAGTGACCAGATGTGCTGTCCTATCATGTTCTCTCCAATCTTTGACATTACCGCCCACACCATGGTCGACCAAAACCATCCGTCCATTGTCCAGCTCAGTATGACTTCCCTCACTTTTTGAGGAGACATTTCTTCAACCAAAGAGTGGTGAGCCTGTGGAATTCATTACCACAGGAAGTAGTTGATGCCAAAACAGTGAATGTATTCAAGAGGTGACTAGATATAGCACTTGGGGCGAATGGGATCAAAGATTATGGAGAGAAAGCAGGTTTAGGCTATTGAGTTGGATGATCAGCCATGATCGTGAAGAATGGTGGAGCAGGCTTGTTTCTATGTAAGTATTAATTATAAGAGAAGGCATGGGTGCTAGGAGCAGATGGTGGGGACAGATAAGCCTTGAAAATAACATGTAAGTGGATGTCCTGTTGAAATTAGAAGAATCAGCACCTTGCAAGAAAATAAGCTGCAAATGTGCAAACTCCACACAGTTGCCTGAGGCTGAAATTGAACCCAGGTCTCTGGCATTGTGAGGCAGCAGTGCTAACCACTGAGCCACCATGCTGCCCCATTTTGACAAGAGAGAACATAACATCAGTGCTTAGAGAGGGTATTCTTAAGGGGCCATCAAATGAGGCCGTATTATTAGAACTTAGCAACAAGAAGGGGATGGTCATTTTGTTGGGACTATATTATAGACCCCCAAATAGCCAGCGTGTACTAGAGGAGCAGATGTGTTGAGAGATTGCAGATACCTGTAGGAATAATAGAGTAGTATTGGTTGGAGATTTTAATTTCCCCTGTATTGACTGGGCTGCCCGGATGCAGTGGAATTTGTCAAATATGTCCAAGAAAGTTTCCTAAATTAATATGTAAAGGTCCCTACTCAGGAGGGTGCAACACTTGATCTCCTCTTAGGAAACAAGGTTGGGCAAGTGACTGAAGTGTCAGTCGGAGAGCACTTTGGGTCCAGTGACCATAAGTCTCTTAATTTAAACATAGTTATGGAAAAAGATAGGACGGGTCCACAGGTGAAGGTGCTGAACTGGAGCAGGGCCAATTTTGGGGCTTTCAAAAGTATGATATCAAGAGTCCAGAGACAGTGTGCTTAAGGAAAAAGCTGGCAGGTTTAGGGATCCTGGCTGATGAGGGATATTGCGGCTGTGGTCAGGAAAAAGAAGAAGGCATATATTGGGTTTAAGCTTTCGAACTCAAGTGAATCCCGAGATGACTATAAAAAGTGCAGGAGCACACTTGAGAGGGAAATCAGAAGTGCAAAAAGAGGGTATGGGATTGATCTGGCAGATAAGGTTAAGGATAATCCCAAGAGGTTCTATAGCTATATTAAGAGTAAAAGAATGGCTAGAGAGAGAATAGGTCCCCTTAAAGATCAGTATGGCTGTCTATGTGTGGAGCCACAGGAGATGGAGGAGATTTTTAATAAATATTTCTCCTCAGTGTTTACTGAGGAGACAATCATAGATGCTAAGTAAATAAGAGAAACAAGTGGAGATGTTTTGGAGCACATCCATATTACCAGAGAGGAGGTATTTGCAGCCTTTAAGCACATTAAGATGGATAAATCCCCTGGTCCTGATCAAGTCCATACTCGGACGTTGTGGGAGGCCAGGGAAGAAATTGCAGAGGCCCTTGCAGAGATTTTTGCTTCACCTTTAGCCACTGGTGAAGTTTCGGAAGACTGGAGGGTGGCTAATGTTGTTCCATTGTTTTAGAAAGGTAGCAAAGACAAGCCAGGGAACTACAGGCCAGTGAGCCGGACATCAGTGGTAGGCAAGTTATTGGAGAGGATACTGAGGGACAGATCAACCAACATTTGGATAGTCAAGGTATGATTAGGGATAGTCAATGTGGATTTGTGTGCAGGAAGTCATGTCTGATAAATCTTTTAGAGATTTTCGAAGTCATAACCAAGAGGATAGATGAGGTAGGGCAGTAGATGTTGTCTATATGGGCTTTAGTAAGGCCTTTGACAAGGTCCCCTTGGCAGGGTTATCATGAAGGTTAGGTCGCATGGGATCCAGGGAGAGCTAACTAATTAGATTCAAAATTGGCTCAATTGTAGGAAGCAGAGGGTGATGGTTGAAGGTTGTTTCTTGGATTGGAGGCCTGTGACTCGTGGTGTGCCACAGGGATCAGTGCTGGAACCTTTGTTACTTGTTTACATTAATGATCTGGATGTGAATGTACAAGGCATGATTCGTCAATTTGTGGATGATTTTAAAAAATTAGGAGGTACCGTTGAAAGCAAGGAAGGTTATCAAAAATTACAGAGGGATCTTGATCAGATGGGGAAGTGGGATGAGGATTGGCAAACATAATTCAATACAGATAAGTGTGAGGTGTTGCACTTTGGGAAGTCAAACCAAGATAGGCCTTATACAGTACATGATAAGGTCCTGAGGAGTGCTGTAGCATGGAGGGACTTAGGAGCACAAGTACATAGTTCGTTGAAAGCAGCATCACAGGTAGACACGCCTTCATCGGTCTAGGCATTGAATATAGGAGTTGGGACATTATGTTACAATTGTATAAGTTGTTGGTGAGGCCACACTTGGAGTATTGTGTACGGTTTTGGTCATCCTGTTATAGGAAGACATAGTTAAACTGGAAAGTGTGCAAAGAAGATTTACAAGGATATTGCCAGGACTAGTAGGCCTGAGTTATAGGGAGAGGTTGGCCAGGATAGGACTTTATTTCTTGGAATGCAGGAGAATGAGGGGTGACCTTATTGAGGTGTACAAAATCATGAGGAGCACAGTTAGGATGAATGCATATAGTCTTGGGAATGGGGAATTGAAAACTAGAGGGCGCGGGTTTAAGGTGAGAGGGGAAAGATTTAAGAAGGACTTGAGAGGCAACTTCTTCACACAGTGAGTGGTACGTATATGGAACGGGCTACCAGAGAAAGTGGTTGAAGCAGGTACAATAGTGACATTTAAAAAACATTCGGATAGGTACACGGATGGAAAGGGTTTTGAGGGATATGGACCAAATGTGGGCAATTGGAACTGGCTGAGTGGGCACCCTGGTCAGCATGGACCAGTTTGGGCCGAAGGGCCTATTTCCATGCTGTATTACTCTATGACTCTATAACTCTGGTACAGAGATGCTCTGGCTGAATCACTATCAATATCCAGTCAAGATCAACTGACTCAACACAGACTCAAAACTAATACCTTAGCATTCTGTATAGTGCAGTTCTGTTGCTGCCAATGCTTGTAGCTGTTACTGTGGGGACATGTGCTGTCATGGTATGTCATATTCAGCTGTTTTGTGCCATTCTCATACATCCACTGGAGTTCATTTGCAGCCACTCTAGCATCCAACAACCAACAATGATTACATTCCTTCCACTTTACCCTTCAGAAGAGATCTCTGTAACTTTTCAGCTCTGATCAAAATATTGTCATTTTCTTTTCTGGATGCCTCTTGTAGAGTTTGTCTTGCTCTTGCAAATTCAAATATATCTTCATTTGTCTTATAGTCTGCATATCTTAGTATTCAGTTTTCAAATACCTCTATTTTCTTCCATAGATCTTTACTTATTGTCCAGGTTTCTTAGTCATACAGGAAAGAAGATAGAATAAAGCATTTATGACATTTTCTCCTTGTTACAAGCTTGTGTTTTCTTGTTGATAACATATTCTTCAGCTTCACAAAATTACTTCCATCTATTTCTTTCCTTGTTTAACTTCTACGTCACATCCTCCATCCATTATTATAATTTCTCCTAAATATACAAACCTATTTATTTGTTCTGGTGTGGCACTATCCACAATTTAACACACATAATATGGATGGATAAAGAATATAAATAAATAGAATTACAAATATCAAAAGTTCAGACCATAAGTTGTAAAGTTCTTTTCCACTTATAGACCTTTTGGTTTTTATAATTATGAGACGCTGTTGTTTGTCTGATAATGGTTGTCCTTTGATTCAATGGCTGATCAGGCGAATGTAGGTCTTTCCTTGGATGAATTCTTTTATTTCAGCTTTCTGGGGTGTTCTGTCATTTTCCCCACATGGACAGAAAGAGAATGAGAGAGAGAGAGATGCTGTGAACAGGCTCTGGATGTTTTCACTTTCTGATGCTCTTGGCACTCACACCTTTTTAACACTCTGCGGGTCAACGATACAGAGGATTCTGGCCAGGCAGAATTACCTTAACTTGAAAGATTCTTGATGCCATTCAGTGTCAAAATCTATATTTGCTTCCAAAAAGCAACATTGTAATGCACAGCTCAACAATATAGGCCCATAAGAAATCAGAATAGGAGTTAGCCATTTGACCCATCATGGCTGATCCAACATTTTTCACATCCACTTTCCTGCCCTTTTCCCCATAACCCTAGATTCCCCGACTGATCAAGAATCAATCTATCTCAGCCTTAAATATACATAGGGACTCTGCTCCCACTGCTCTCTGTGACTAGGGATTCCAAAGACTCTTCATCTCAGTCTTAAATTGGTGCCCCTTTATTCTGAGACTGTGCCCTCTGATCCTAGACTCTCCTTTGAGAGGAAACATCTTAGCATTTACCCTGTTGCCCCTTAAGAATCCTATATGTTTCAATGAGATTACCTTTCATTCTTCTAAACTCCAATGAGTAGAGTCCCAACCTGTTTAGCCTTTGCTCCTAAGACAATCTCTCCATATTAGGAATCACCCTAGTGAACTTTCTCTGAACTGCCTAAAATTAAATGACATCTTTCTGTGAATAATGTACCAAAACTTTTAAAAGTAAAGACAACCCCAGCGTTTTACATATAAACATATAAAGAGAAACAAGAACTGGCCACTTGGCCATTTGAGTCTGCTCCACCATTCAATAAGATCATGGCCAACCTGATTTTAACCTCCATTCCAAAGTCCTGCACGTCCCCGATACACTCTCATCCTTGGTAATGAAGAATCTATCTACCTCTGTCTTAAAAAATATTTAAAGATTCTGCATCCACTCCCCTTTAAGGAAGGGTATTCCAAAGTTTCACAACTTTCAGAGAAAAAGAGTTTCACTCTCGTTAACAACAATTGTTCACTGTTACCTTAAGATCACCAGGTTTATAAGTTTTGACTGTTAAGATATGTGAGTTCATTGACATGTGTTTCTGCTACTATTGATATTTGTAATATTTGGATTGAATCTTTATGATAAGTATGTCCTAAATATTGGTTCGATGCAGTCAATTTGCTTCTTCAATATTGCTTTTTTCTACTTTAAGAGCAGTCACAACTCAAGTTCTTCATAGCTTCTCTCCTGTGAGGAGACCAAGATGATCTGTTGGGAGAAAGAGAGAATTGGAACAAATATTTTTTACAAAGAGCGAATAGGACAAAGCTAAAAATAAATCGAAGTAGTTTTAAAGAACTAAGAAGGTTATTCAGCCACTTTGTCTAAACTGGTGTAACAAGGTGTGAAGCTGGATGAACATAGCAGGCCAGGCAGCATCAGAGGTGCAGGAAAGCTGATGTTTCGGGTCTGGACCCTTCTTCAGAAATGGGGGAGGGGAAGGGAGCTCTGAATTAAATAGAGAGAGGGGGAGGCGGTGATAGAAGGTGGATAGAGGAACAGATAGGTGGAGAGAAGGCGGACAAGTCAAGGAGGCAGGGATGAAGCCAGTATAGGTGAGTGTAGGTAGGGAGTTGGGATGAGGGTTGGTCAGTGAGGCGGGAGGGGCAGTTGGGGGGGAGGGAAGACGGACGGGTCAAGGAGGCAGGGATGAGGCTAGTAGGTAGGAAGTGGGGGATGCTGCCTGGCCTGCTGTGTTCATCCAGCTGCATACCTTGTTATGTCAGACTCCAGCATCAGCAGTTCCTACTATCTCTTGTCTAAACTGGTTCTTTGGCAGAGGAAATACATAATTAATCCCACAGGTTTGCTTTGGTTCCTTCATCTCATATCCTTGTTTCAAATGTTTACATCTTTTTGGCTTAAAAAATGCGATGATATCTGTCAGGGCCACTCCCTCTGGCAAAGAAAGCAGTCATGTTCTCTACAAATTTCTCCTTACTCTGTTTAAATTGATGATTTATCAGACTCTCCAGCCAGGGAGAAATTGAATTCTCAACTAAGCTTCTCAAAATCTGTTAAAATTGAGAAAACACTGTTCAATAAACTTGAAATCTCTCTCTGAAGGAACAACACCAGTATCTCAAGTCATGAGGAGGATTACATGATAAAAACAGAAACTGAAATTGCTTCTGTTTGTTTTCTGAGCATGGTATGAATTTTCTTAAGTGAAAATACTCTGTATTGCATAGTCAAAAGTTAGCCTATGAATTGATGAGACCAAGATCAAACGTTGATGCCTCTCATGGGTCTTCCCCAATTCTGCCTACTTCTATTTATCATATCCTCTTTCAGTATGTCATTTGTTCTCTTTTCTTTCACGTATTGCCAAAAGAAAGAATAACAAACAAATGTAAATGCATTTATAAAATGCCTTTCACAGCCTCATAAAGTGGTTTAAAGTCGATCAACTACTTTTGTGGTGAGTATTGTATGAAGGAAATGTCTTCTAATTATTCATCATAAATGAGTAAGATTTTGGGCTTGACTTTAAGCTTACCCGTAAGACCCAAGTCACTTACAATTAAAGACTGAATTAAGGCAGCCTTTCCAAAACCTGTTCTGATTAGTTATAAAACCCATTCCAGATACAAAAGTATATTTTAATAACTTTTACAAAATTTGTTAAGTTTATCATAAATACAAAATAAAGTATACTCAATAAAAGCAATGGATTTCAATTGACACTGCTCGTGATACTGTTTGACTGGATACAAGTCTCTTATTTTCTCCTGTTGACTAACATTGTCCTATTTTCTATGTTCTTTTCTGTACACTGAACCTCTGAAAATGGTCACTATCAACCCTTGTTAGCCACTACCCCCATCAGAGGCATCCTGAAATCTAAATGGCTTGTCAATACATGGCGAGTACATAATCAATGTCAGATTAGCTAAACAATACATACCCAATTTATAAATGGTTTCTTTAGAAGGAATGATTTTCTTGCCGATATCAATTCCTTCAATTTCCTAATTCGTTCCTTCAAATGTCAGCCACATCCCTTTTATGACAGCTCATCCCACTTTGTTTACTAACTTCATAGATCTCTACCAAAATAAGTGAACTGGCAAGATATATCTCATTTATCTACTTTTCTTTTGATTTATCCCATGACTATCTCTGCTAATGTCTGTCTTCGTAAGGTTGGGAGCTAGAATCATTTATATAAATGACTTGTATGTGAACATAGGAGGTATGGTTAGTAAGTTTGCAGATGACACGAGAATCAGAGGTGTAGTTGACAGTAAAGAAGGTTACCTCAGAGTACAATGGGATCTTGATCAGATGGGCCAATGGGTCAAAGAGTAGCAGATGCAGTTTAATTTAGATAAATGTGAGGTGTTGCATTTTGGAAAGGCAAATCAGGGTAGGACTTATACACTTAATGGTAAGGTCTTGGGGAATGTTGCTGAACAAAGAGACCTGGAAGTGCAGTTTCATAGTTCCTTGAAAGTGGAATCCCAGATAGACAGGACAGTGAAGAAGGCGTTTGGTATGCTTGCCTTTATTGGTCAGTGCATTGAGTATAGGAGTGGGAAGGTCACGTTGCAGCTGTACAGGTCATTGGTTATGCCACTTTTGGAATACTGCATGCAATTCTGGTCTCTCTGCTATAGGAAGGATGTTGTGAAAATTAAAAGGGTTCAGAAAAGGTTTACAAGGATGTTGCTAGGGTTGGAGGGTTTGAGCTACATGGAGATACTGAATAGACTAGGGCTATTTTCCCTGGAGTGAGGAGGCTGAGGGGTGATGTTACAGAGGTTTATAAAATCATGAGGGGCAGGGATAGGGTGAGTAAATAAGGTCTTTTTCCTGAGATGGGGTAGTCCAAAACTAGATGGCACAGGTTTAAGGTGAGAGGGGTAAGATTTAAAACTTTTTCACGCAGAATGGAATGAGGTGTCACAGCAACTGGTGGAGGCTGGTACAATTACAACATTTAAAAGGCATCTGGATGGATATATGAATAGGAAGGGTTTAGAGGGATATGGGCCAAATGCTGGCAAATGGGACTAGATTTATTTGGGATATCTGATTGGCATGGACAAGTTGGACCAGCTCTATGACTCTAATTAAAGAAGACTGGGTTGAAATCATAGACATTAAATATATAACCTTGCAGTTTAACTTTGCTCTGCTAAAACTACTGTATTATTAATAAATTGTTTTTTTTGTTTAAACTATAAACCTGGTGCCTGGTATCAGTTATTCACTAAATCTGGTCAGGAACTATTGGGGTCAATTTTGACAGCCATTGAGTAATTTTATTGTTTTGCAAATTCAGGAATAGGGAGGCTGATTTGATTTGACAAACTGTGTCCATGTCATAACATAATATTTATAATAATGTATGGAATTGTACTTATTTGTCCAACATCTGCCATTCTATGCAGCAAGAATTGATTTCTCCAGCACATCCAGTGCTGAGTTCTATTTAACCCATCTCTGAATTTTCCTGGCAACACTATTGATTCTACAGCTCCTTAATATGATTGGGTAGCCCATCTTCAAAGATTTTTATTCTGCCATAATGGTGATTTTCTCTTCTCCTTCATCAAGTGCCTGTGACATCATCACAGTGGGTGTTGCTAATTGCATTCCAGTATTAACCCTTCCAACTCTTCCAGCACATGTACAGCAGATTTTTATTCAGCTTTTCGTGAAGGAAAAGGCTATATTTTTTAATTTTCTTGGCCAGTTTTGCAGCTATACTGAAACAGCTTTACGAGAGGTATTTCCTGGAGGAGCTTCAGCAAAACAGCCAGAACATTGTTGTTCCTGATTTACAGCATCCACAGTTCTTTTGGTTTTTATTTAGTACTTAACTGTTCTGAGTTCTGAGGAAGGGTCACCGGACCCGAAACATTAACTCTGTTTTATCCTTCACAGATGCTGCCAGACCTGCTGAGCTTTTCCAGCTACTTGTTTTTGTTATTGTTGACCCCCATACTCTTTGCTGAAATCTGTGCTCTCAGCTGTTTATAGATTAATTGTATTAAACACTGGGATCTCAGATATTGGAAATCTCCACAAGATGTCAAGATAGATCATCCACTTCAAACGTGGCTGAAGAATGCAAGAACTTTAACGTTGCATTTTAAGTACAGTGCTGAGCCATCATTAAGGCTGGAAATGATTAAAAATGGGGCCTTCTCCTCTGATTAGCTGTTTAATTGTTCACCATCATTCACAACTGGATTTGGATGGACACTAAAACTGTGACCTGATCCAATCATTTTGGGATCATTTAACTTGACTTATAGCATGCTGTTTCCACCGTTTGGTATGTATGCAGCCTTGTGTTGTAGCTTCCCCAGGGTGGCACCTCACATTTAAATACACATAACGCTAGTTCTGGTATGCACTTCTAAATTCTTCTTGAACCAAGTTTGATCCTCAGGCCTGAATATAATGATAACAGTGAAGAATGTTCTGGGTCACGATGTCACAGATTGTATTATAATACAATTCCAGTGCTGTTGCGAATGAACCCTACAGCACTTCATGGATGCCCAGATCTCTTAAATCTTTCCTTTTTAGCATGCGCATTGGCCACACGATATGATGGGGACCATCCAGTGTCAAGATGGGACTTCACAAGGGATGGTTTTTCATCATCCCTGAGAAATAATAACATGGATATGCGCATGTGACTAGTCAATTCTTGAGATCACATCAAATATATTTTACACTCATGGTGACGCTCACCACCTGCTGCCAGTCAATCTGAAAATACGACCTTCAAATCTTGGCTAGTAGTGATGCATCGAGCTACTCTTATTGTTGGACATTCTGTGCTCTTGCTACTCTCAATTTTTCTTCTGTGGTAGTCAACAGGACGGAGAACTCATTCATCAAATGAGGGAAAGTGACAATCAGCATGATGTTTCTTTGGTTATATTTGGCCACATCTCATGTGGTCTTCATGAGATTTCATGGCATCTGGGCAATTATTGAGGATCCCAGAATCCCTCCATGCTGACTCTACACTAGTGCTACCACTGCCATTTTGTCCTGATGAAGGAACAGGTGTACCCAGAGATTTGATAGAGGAATTTAGGATATAGAAGAAAGATTATATTTAATCATATCAGGCAATTGCTTGACTAGTCTGTGGGACAGTTCTCAATTTTGGCACCAATCCCAACTGCCAACTCTGAAGTTGGAGAGGGCAGGGCCAGCTGTAACTTTGTCATGTTTAAACCCAGTGTTGAAATTGATACCAAGTGGTGGCTCAGTGGTTAGCACTGCTGCCTCACAGCGCCAGGAATCTGGGCTCGATTCCACCCTCGGGCGACTGTCTGTGTGGAGTTTGCACATTCTCCCTGTGTCTGCGTGGGTTTCCTCCCATTGTCCAGAGATGTACAGGCTAGGTGGATTGGCCATGCTAAATTGCCCATAGCTTTCAGGGAGGTGTAGATTAGGTGAGTTATAGGGGGATGGGTCTGGGTGGGATGTCTGAGGGTCGATGTGGACTTGTTGGGCCGAAGGGCCTGTTTCCACACTGTAGGGATTCTATGATCTGTTTTATGCTTATTATAGTTTATCATTATGGCACAGATACAACTGAATGGCTTCTTTGGCCATTTCACAGTAAACCACATTGTGTGACTCCAGACTCAATAAAATCAGACAGCACTGAAACAGACTCTTCCATCCAACCAGTCCATGCCGAACATAATCGCAAACTAAACTAATCCCACCTGCTTGCTCCTGGCCCATATCCTTCAAAACCTTTCTTATTCATGTACTTACCCAAAAGTCTTTTAAATGTTGTAATTGTACCCACATCCACCACTTTCTCAGGAAGTTCATTTCATACACATGCCACCCTCTGTGTAAAAAAAAAAAATTGCCCCTCGTGTCTTTTTTAAAATCTTTCTCCTCTCATCTTAAAGATGTGCCCCCAGTCTTGAAATACCCCATTCTAAGCATAAGACAACTAACGTTAACCCTATCTATACCCCTCATTATCTTATAAACTTCTGCAAGGTCCCCTCTCGACCTCTAATGCTCCAGTGAAAAAAATCCCAGCCTATCCCACCTTTCTTTATAACTCAAACTTTCCATACCCAGCAACATACTGGGAAATCTCTTCTGAATCCAGCTTAATAATATCCTTCCTATAACTGGGTGACTAGAACTGGACAGTGTTCCAGAAGAGGCCTCACCTATGTCAAACTGAATAAGGACAGCAGGTTTCCTTCTCTACAGAGCATTAATGAACCAGGTAGGTATTTACTAAAATTTGGAAGTTTCATTCTACTCTTGCTGACTTGCTCACTGAAATTAGTTCTAGTAGGAACAATTAATTTTACAACTCATTACGGTCTTTAGTCAAAACATGGCTGAAAGTGACAATGTTCAGAGTTGACTTAAGATTGAATGGTCTTGATCAAAACAGTTTTTGACTGTTCAACTTGATAAACCACCATGAGACTTAGGTGCAGGACATTATGTTTTTTTCATATGTACTCAAAGACGTCCAGTCTTGAACATTCTAAGACTGAACTCTGGCAAAATCCCAGAAGTTCCTACCTCATATAGACCTTAAGTCATATATTCAATTTCTAATATGATTGTAATTTGATCAGATGTCTTTTATTTCCCACAGTACATATGTCATACATTGTTCATGTCCACACAAGGCTTTCCATTATCCTGCTGATTATGTTGCCGAGGGTTCATCCTTGTTTCCATCACTCATTCCCTGGCTTGGCCTTTTGCCATCCTGTCTGAGGTGCACCTGCTAAACTACTGTTCTACTTAAATTTATTTTCCTACAAACATTGCTACCACTTTTCAAGGAGCCTAAATAAAAGTTAAGTCAATGGGAATTGAAAGAAAACTGCAGTTGGTTCGTTCGCTGAGCTGGTTTGTTAGTTTGCAGATTTTTCATTACCCTACTGGTGCAGCCTCTGATGAAGCATTGTTGTGTTTTCTCACTTGTTAATTAAACTCAGGGGTTCGTTGGAATTGATTACCTCATTTATGGTTTTTCTTTGTAGTGGTGTGTATTTAGGGTCTAATTCCATGTGTTTATTGATGGCCTTCCTGTTGGAGAATGAGGCCTCTAGAAATTCTCGTGCTTGTCTCTAATTGGCTTGTCCTAGGATCCTGACATTGTCCCAATTGAACTGGTGATTCTCTTTGTCTGTGTGTATGGAGACAAGTCAGTATTGGTCATGTATTTTTGTTGCTAGTTAGTGTTCATGTATTCTTGTAGCCAGTTTCCTTCCTGTCTGTCCAACGTAAGCCAGCTCAGCGAGCGAACCAACCACAGCATCCACAATCCAAGCTACAAATCTACTCAAGAACCTGAAAGAAAACTCTCCACAAGCTGGACCCAAACCAGCACAAATAAAGATGGTTGTGGTTTTTAAAAATGTACCTTATCTCAATTTCAAGACATTGCTGGATGGTGGTTTCAGGGCTATAGCTAACACCCAACTGCCACATTCAGGACGTTCCTCCTTATAATCTGAAGTGGGAGATAGTTAATTATTTCCTTCTTGTTGTCAGCTCGATGCATATCTTCTTAGATAATGAAACAGCTTTGCCTGCATGCAGCAAGAATTGCACAATATTCAGGTGTGGGCTGGTAAATGGCAAGAAATATTTGCTCATGCAAGGCAATAACCATCCACTGTCCCCACCATCAACATCATAGAATCACCACTGGCCAAAAGGTTAACTGGTGTGGTCCTCCATTTTTGCTTCAAAGGCTGACTAGGTGAAAGTTGGGAGTATGATGGAATACTTGACACTTGCCTGGATGATACACACAATTCAAATAAAATGTAACCCATTTGATTGGCGTCCAACTACTATCACAGAATGTTCACTTCCTCCATGATCAGTTTACCATAGCTGCTGTATGTAGCACCTATAAAATTAACTGGAGCAATCGGTAAGGCTTATTTGCAAATAAATTGCATTACAGTGCATATCTCTGGTTGAAAAACTACTACTAGCTGGGGCAACAAACGGATGTTTTGTCTGTTATTTCTGGTTTTACTTATATCTTTTCTTGGCTTCCCTGCTTTCACGAACTAATCTTTGATGGTAAAGCCAAAGCCAAAAAACTGGACATGGTTTTACAAAACAACTTTTGAGTTTTTAAGCCATCATTCCGTATTAGTCTAAAAATGGACCAGATAACTATATTTGTGACAAAAAAACAGAAATTGTGGGAGAAACTCAGCAGGTCTGGCAAACTCTGTGGAATGAAAGCAGAGTTAATATTTCCAGTTCAGTGACTCTTCTTCAGAACTGCTATTTCACTGTATTTGTTTTTGGGTCTCAGTTGACAGATTCAGATGCAATAGTCTTACCATGTAATGAGTTACCTCATTGGCTGCATGCTAAGACTATATCCTAACAAATACAGAAATAATTAAATGTTAATCTTTACAAACATCAAACGTATTGTGCAACCTTTAAGTAGTGTGACTTACTTAATTCATTTAAATTACATTTAAATTCTTCCCCCGCTATGCAAGAATGTCAATGTTATGTGAACACGACTAAAGAGCATATTTACCTAGAGTTGAAATGGTTCAAAATCAATATGTTGCAATTAAAGTGTTTGTTGGTTTTAGGCAAATGTCCTTGGTCCAGAACAAAACTATTTTAAATTTTATGAAGCAAATATCATACTAAAAACAGGCAGAGGTGATGGATTGAATGTGGTTTCTACTTCCCGCTGTAGCCTCAGCACATTTCAACACAGACTGTTTTCTGTTTCCTTTTTTTTAAGATTGTGAAACATTGCATAGAAGCTCCTTGCAGGGCCTGACTTATCCTTCTTTAATTCACATGATTATAAATAGTTAATTGATTATCTAATCATGTCAGCAGACTATTATCACAGCCATCTCCTAGATTACAACTGATAAAGTTAGAGTGCAGACATCTTAATAGGCTTACATTGTCCTTTACAAGTTAGAATATTTTAATACAAATCAGAAACAAGCAGCCACCATAACCATTTAACTATCCTTCTCTTGTCTCTTATTGTTAAACTATTCATTTTATGAACAGAATTACTTATTATAAACTGTTCTCTTTTCTGTTCAATCATCTTGAATTGTTCTAATATCTGATGCATTCTACAGATGTCTAGATTCATGCAACAAGCTATTCCCAATCATCATAATATTCTTAGCCTAACCTAATCAATAAAAATAGCCCTTCGCATACCATCAGTTAACTCTTTGCTCACCAAAGGCCCTGACAAGTATTTATAAAGTGCAGTACCTGAAATTAAAAGTACATGAAAAAAGAAATTTGGAATTTTAAGGTGATCCTTATTTTTCTTTTTAAGGTAAGAATGCATTTACAGTGTAATTTTACCACATTAACTTGTTTTTGAACAATTTGCATTGACTCCCTCTTTCTATGCTTATACATTTCCTCCATCTCTTTGATCTGTATCATTCTCTTCCTCTTTAAGCGAGCTCTTTTCTCTTCTGTCTTTAAGATGGGCTACAGCAATTCAAGGTTATGATTCAACACTCCAGAACAATTAGGGATGGACAACAAATGTTGGTCTTATCTGCAACACGCACCTCCAACAGAAGAATTAAAAAACTTTTTATTTGAATATACGCAAAGGAAAGGCTGTGCACGTACCAGTATTGCCACTTATTTTCAATTTCCTCTGCTCCTTTTGCGATACTTATTTCCTCTTCTAAAACTTATCCAGGACATTGAAATCCCTTTTCAAACAATAAAGTAATATTTGAGCAGTCATTATTATAATGCAGGGAAACATGACTCATGTATAGCAAGATGTCACAACTATCAATGAGATATATGACCATACAACCTGTTTTTCGTGATAAAAACAGAAGTTGCTGGAAAAGCTCAGCAGGTCTGGCAGCATCTGTGAAGAAAAAAATCAGAGCTAACTTTTTGGGTCCAGTGACCCTTCCTCAGAACTGTTCAGTGACCCTTCCTGTTCTGAGGAAGAGTCAACAGGAAGGGTCACTGGACCCGAAACGTTAACTCCGATTTTTTCCTTCACAGATGCTGCCAAAGCTGCTGAGCTTTTCCAGCAACTTCTGTTTTTGTTCCTGAGTTACAGCATCTGCAGTTCTTTCAGTTTTTATTCTGTTTTTGGTGATGTTACTTAAACGATAAGTGGATAAAGCAAAGAACCTTCCTGTTCTTCTTTGAATAGTATCATAGGAGTTTTTATATCCTCAGCGGGATACAGAGTGCCTTAATTTTGCATCTCATGCAAAATTCAGCACTCCCTAAGTACTGCACTGAAATGTCAACCAAGATTATGTACTCAAATCCCTAGAGTGGAACTTGAAACAATAAGCTTCTCATTTAGGGGCCTCAGGTATGCCACTGAGCCAAACAGGATTTCTTATGGTCCCCATACTGACATGATTAAAAATGTTTTTATTGCAATTTTGTACAGATTTATCATAACCTCTTTGCACTTGTACACTAAGCATCTATTTATAAACCCAACATAACACGGCCTTCTTTCAAAACCAAAAGAACTGCGGATGCTGGAAATCAGAAACAAAAATGCAAATTGCTGGAAAAGCTCAGTGGACCTGGGAGCATCTGTGGGGAGAAATCAGTTATCGTTTCAGGTCCAGTGACCTTTCCTCAATTTTGTTGAGTATTTCCAGCAATTTCTGTTTTTGTTTCTGATTTCCAGCATCCACAGTTCTTTTGGTTATCTGATTAAATTTGGGTATCTGGTCAGCACGGACAAATTGGACCGAAGGGCCAATTTCCATGGTGTACATCTCTACGATTCTATGACTCTAGAGTACATATTTGAAATGCCAAGGAGGATGAAATTACACTTCTAGAAATAGAAATAGAGGAGGTTGATGCTTGGCACACAAGTAAAATTAGGAGCTGGCCGAGTAATTGGGAAAAGCAGTTAATGAAAACAGAAATTGCTCTGCTGCGCTTTTCCAACAATTTCTGTTTTCATTACTGCTTTTCCCAATTACTTTGCCAGCTCCTAATTTTACTTGTGTGCCAAGCATCAATCTCATACCTCAGATATTTCTAAAAGTGTAATTTGCATCCCTCATTGGCAATTCAAACTTGTACTCATAGCATCATAGAATCATAGAGATGTACAGCATAGAAACAGGCCCTTTGGTCCAATTCATCCATGCTGACCAGATATCCAAAATTAATCTAGTCCAACTTGTCAGCATTTGGCCTTATCCCTATTCATGTACCCGTCCAAATGCCTTTTTAAGTGTTGTAAATGTACCAGCCCCACCACATCCTCTGGCAGCTCGTTCCATACATACACCACCCTCTGCATGATAAAGGTGCCTCTTCGGTCTCTTTTAAATCTTTCCTCTCTCACCTTAAACCTATAGAACATAGAACATTACAGTGCAGTACAGGCCCTTTGGCCCTCGATGTTGCGCCGACCTGTGAAACCAATCTGAAGCCCATCTAACCTAAACTATTCCATTATCATCCATATGTTTATCCAATGACCATTTAAATGCCCTTAAAGTTGGCGAGTCTACTATTTTTGCAGGCAGGGCATTCCATGCCCTTACTACTCTCTGAGTAAAGAACCTACCTCTGACATCTGTCCTATATCTATCACCCCTCAATTTAAAGCTATGTCCCCTCGTGCTAGCCATCACCATCCGAGGAAAAATGCTCCCACTGTCCACCCTATCTAATCCTCTGATCATCTTGTATGTCTCTATCAAGTCACCTCTTAACCTTCTTCTTTCTAACGAAAACAACCTCAAGACCCTCAGCCTTTCCTCATAAGACCTTCCCTCCATACCAGGCAACATCCTGGTAAATCTCCTCTGCACCCTTTTCAACGCTTCCACATCCTTCCTATAATGCGGTGACCAGAACTGTACGCAATACTCCAAGTGCGGCTGCACCAGAGTTTTGTACAGCTGCAACATGACCTCATGGCTCCGAAACTCAATCCCTCTACCAATAAAACCTAACATACTGTACCCCTTCTTAACAATGCTATCAACCTGGGTGGCAACTTTCAGTGATCTATGCACATGGACACAGAGATCTCTCTGCTCAACCACACTACCAAGAATCTTACCATTAGCCCAGTACTCTGTATTCCTGTCACTCCTTCCAAAGTGAATCACCTCACACTTTTCCGCATTAAACTCCATTTGCCACCTCTCAGCCCAGCTCTGCAGCTTATCTATGTCCCTCTGTAACCTGCAACATCCTTCCGCACTATCCACAACTCCACCGACTTTGGTGTCATCTGCAAATTTACTAACCCATCCTTCTACGCCCTCATCCAGGTCATTTATAAAAATGACAAACAGCAGTGGCCCTAAAACAGATCCTTGAGGTACACCACTAGTAACTGAACTCCAGGATGAACATTTCCCATCAACCACCACCCTCTGTCTTCTTACAGCTAGCCAATTTCTGATCCAAACCGCTAAATCATCCTCAATCCCATGCCTCCGTATTTTCTGCAATAGCCTACCATGGGGAACCTTATCAACCGCTTTACTGAAATCCATATACACCACATCAACCGCTTTACCCTCATCCACCTGTTTGGTCACCTTCTCAAAGAACTCAATAAGGTTTGTGAGGCACGACCTACCCTTCACAAAACCGTGTTGACTATCCCTAATCAAATTATTCCTTTCTAGATGATTATAAATCCTATCTCTTATAATCCTTTCCAACACTTTACCCACAACCGAAGTAAGGCTCACTGGTCTATAATTACCAGGGTTGTCTCTACTCCCCTTCTTGAACAAGGGGGCAACATTTGCTAGTCTCCAGTCTTCTGGCACTATTCCTGAAGATAATGACGACACAAAGATCAAAGCCAAAGGCTCTGCAATCTCCTCTCTAGCTTTCCAGAGAATCCTAGGATAAATCCCATCCGGCCCAGGGGACTTATCTATTTTCACACCTTCCAGAATTGCTAACACCTCCTCCTTATGAACCTCAATCCCGTCTAGTCTAATAGACTGTATCTCAGTATTCTCCTCGACTACATTGTCTTTTTCCTGTGTGAATACTGACGAAAAATATTCATTTAGCACCTCTCCTATCTCTTCGGACTCCACGCACAACTTCCCACTACTGTCCTTGACCGGCCCCAATCTTACTCTCGTCCTCTAATTTTGGACTCCCCAAACCTGGGAAAAAGACTTTGGCTGTTCAGCCTATCCACGATCCTCATGATTTTATAAACTTCTACAAGGTCACCCCTCAGCTCCCTCACTCCAGAGAAAATAGCCCCAGCCTATTCAGTCTCTCCCTACACCTTAAACCCTCCAACCCTAACAACATCCTTGTAAATCTTTTCTGAACCCTTTCAAGTTTCACAACATCCTTCCTATAGCTCAGAGACCAGAACTGAACACAGGGGTATTCTTAACTAATGTCCTGTACAGCTGCAAGGTGACCTTCCAACTCCTATACTCAATGCACTGACCAATAAGCGCAAGCATATCAAATGCCTTCCTCACTATCCTGTCTACCTGTGAGTCCACTTTCAAGAAACCATGAACTGCACCCCAAGGTCTCTTTGTTTGGCAACACTCTCCTAGACCTTACCGTTAACTGTACATGTCCTGCACTGATTTGCCTTACCAAAATGTAGCGCCTCACATTCATCTAAATTAAACTCCATTTGCCACTCTTGGGCCCATCTGATCAAGGTCCGGTTGTACTCTGAGATAACCTTCTTGGGTGTCCACTACACCACCAATTTTGGTGTCATCTGCAAACTTACTAACTGTTCCTCCTATGTTCACATCCAAATCATTTATATAAATCCCATCACACTTACCCATAGTAACTTGCACATTATTGTCTACCCATTCTGTTCATCTATTGCATTCCCCTTTTTCACAATCCTTGGCGCTGTTTGACAAACTTCTATGTCGCCTAATATTGTGTCCCGAGTGCACCAACTTGCATTTATACATCACTTGTAATGTGTGAAATTATCCCAAATACTTTGAAACAAAAACAGAAATTGCTGGAGAACTTGGCTGCTCTTATAGCATCCAATGGGGAGGCAACAGAGTTAAGGTTTCGAATCCCGTGACTCCTCTCATCAAGTTTCTTCAGCAACTTCAGTTTTAATTTCAGATCGCCAGCATCTGCAGACCTGTGTTTTATCCCAAGAGGTTTCACAGACGTACCATTCGCCACACGCAGTGGCGGATGCGCAACGATTCCTGCAATTCATTTCTAAATGCAGGTATGTCGCGTTTAAAGTGAACAAAGCAAAATACTACAGATGCTGAAAATCTGAAACAAACAGAGAATGCTGGAAAAAAAAACTCAGCATGTCTGTCAGAACCTGTTACAGAGTATCAGAACGGAAGAAAAGTCTGTATTTCTCTCCATAGATACTGCCTGACCTGCTAAGTGTCCCACTTACAGCGAGGCTCCGGCCATTGCCCCTGACTATAACAGCAGGGCAGGGCTATTCTCCCAACATCAGTCACAGATATAAAGGCATCTCTGTATTAACACCAAGACTATCTACTACCAAGCGTTAGACAAACCCTTCAACAGCTTCAAAGAGCAAATAAACAAACTCATCCACAAATAAACCACCACTAACCGACTGCACCACAACAAAGAACTCCTAGGACCCAATCATGCAGCTTCCGCCGTGCCTGCTCATATTTGTCAAAACTCAAGGACTAAGAAGAGATTTTAAAAGTAAAGTCAGTTCGAAAGCTGGTACAATAGCAAAACAGAAAGAAGTAACTGTCATCATTCTCGGAATGAATTATCTCATCAATGTTAGAAACGGTTCAAATTTGTTAAATTGTCAAGACATCTATCAGGACAGAGCCGTTTGGCGAAGGACCTGAGCGGGCTATTTTGAAAACAGGAACGCGCGGGCTAATGGTGTCTGCGCTAGAGTGGCGCGGTGTGTGAATTCAGGGGGAGTATCGGCGCATTTTGAGCAGTGTGTGAGTTCAGGGGGAGTATCGGCGCATTTTGAGCAGTGTGTGAGTTCAGGGGGAGTATCGGCGCATTTTGAGCAGTGTGTGAGTTCAGGGGGAGTATCGGCGCATTTTGAGCAGTGTGTGGGTTAAGGGGGAATATTGGTGCAGTTTGAGCAGTGTGACGTCGTAGCAGTGCGGTCCGTTTCTTCGATTAAAATCAGGAGGAATGGTGTCTCGGTTCCACTTGGAAGATGGAAGTTCCGAATCCTGCTGCCTTGTACAGGGATGTGAAGGTCGTCAAGGTACCGGCTGCTCCCAGTATTGAAGATTTCACGATCATAAAACCCATCAGTCGCGGGGCTTTCGGTAAAGTTTACCTAGCTCGGAAAAAACACGATGAGAAGAAGCTTTACGCTGTCAAGGCAAGTATTGGACTCGATGGCCGGTTGGAGGGGAAATAGGCAATGCTTAAAATACTAAGTGTTAGCCATAATCACAAAATTTAAATAAAAATTAACAAACGATTCTCTTTGTTCAATTTGGTCAAGGATGCTTTTCTTGTGATATTTAATCATGTCCGGGCATGTTTTCTGGGCCTGGAACAGAAATGGATTGAGATGGGTCTAGGTTTTACTTAAATTCGCCAGAGGTTACAATTTGCTTAATTCCTCAGTTTGGAAGTGATGGCTAGTATTGTTGAGTGGCACTTACTTGACACTGACGCTCAGTTCCTGACCTCATTACAGTCTTGGTACAAGCTTGATCTAAGTGATGAGGTGAGAGTGATTACCTTTAACATCAGGTGTTTAACATCAGTATTTGATCAAATATGATATCAATGCACCCTAGCAAAACTGGAGTGAATGATAGGTGAAAGGGGTTGCTCTCTACCACTTGGCTTCATGCCTGTCACAAAGGATTATGGTTGTTAGAAGTCAATCATCTCATTCCCAATGCATTGCCGCAGGAATGCTGTGGGATTGTGTTGAGGTCTGCCCTTCATGTGCTTCATGACCTTCCCTTCTTCATAAGATCAGAAATGCAGGTGTGAAATCATCAGTGTACAATGCTCAGTTCCATTTGTGATCCTCAGATATTGAAGAACTCTTCATGTGTGGGAAGACCTGGCAACATTCAGGCATGAGTTGATAAGTGTTTGGCACTTGGGTGGCACAAATGTTACTTGCCAATTACCCATCTCTAACAAGTGAGAACCTGAGCATTGCCCCATGATTTTCAATGGCATTACCATTGCTGAATTCCTCATTTGGGATGCCATTGACCAGAAACTGAACTGTTGTAGTTATGTAAGTATCATGGTTACAGAGGAATTCAGAGGCTTGGATTTTGTGGTGACCAACTCCCCTCCTGATTCTTGAGACCCTGTCCACCAAGGCACAAGTCAGGAGTGTGATGGTTTACTCCCCACTTGCCTGGATGAGTATAGCTCCAACAGCATTTAAAAAAAAGTGCTTGACAAATAAAAGCAGCCATCTTGATTGTCACCCTATCTGCCACCTTAAAAGTAAATTACATACTCCATCATTGATGCATAGTGGCAGCAATGTGTATTATCTACTGATGTACAGCAGTAACTCGCCAAGACTCCATTGAAAGCACCTGCTAAACTTGTGATATCTACCACTTATAAGAGCGAGGGCAGCACACACATGGGAGTACCACCTGCAAGTTCCTTTCCCAGTCACTTGAAATCCTGACTTAGAACTATGTCACTATTCCTTCACTGTACTGGAACTCCCTTCCACATAGAATTGAGAGTATACTTAAATGACATGGTTTGCTGGACTTCGAGAAGGTGGCTCACCACTTTCTTAATGGTAATTCGGCATGAGCGGTAAAGGCTGGCCAAGCCAGATATGCCCATATCCTGTGAATGAATTTTTCAAAAAGGATTTCTGTGGAATTGTCCAAGATTTAACTTTGATGTACAAAATAAAACCAAACTTGTAACATGCATTAATTCTTTTCCTTTCAGTGACCTGTTGTAATTTACCTGAAAGGGGTTAAAATGTGATATTAGTCAAGGGAACGGGAATATTATTCCGGAGATGACAATAAATGATTTTATACTCTTGGCTGTAGAATAAGACTAATTCTACAAAATAGCAAAAGAATTAAAATTGCTAAATCTCAAGGTGACACTAAATCTCAAGGTGCCACTAAATGCTGATAATGCCACATTTAGAAATATCTCAATTTGAAAGAAATAAATTGTAAATGGAAGTCTTATACTTTCTGGTAACACAAGTCAATTAACATTTGTAAATGGGGAAAAGATGTAACATTTTTGGTGTGCAACCTTTTATAAATTGGTGAACTTTGTTATAAGTGTAAGTCAAATCTGATTGGTACATTCTCCATGGGAATACCTCTACCAGAGTCTACTTGCCAAACAACTAGCACTCTCCTCTCATACCATATAAACGGATGTTTTCCCCTCAGATTTAAATTCTTACATAATGTTCTGACATGCAAGATGAAAAGTTTCGATCAAAATATTTTTTTCCAGTAATACTCAATTCTCAAACAAAAATATTTTATGTGTGAAACAATTAAATATAAAATTGAATTGGAAACAAGTGTTGGTTGGCTTGATTTGAAATTTAGAGAATAAAATTCTACTTTTACAAGACTTGCATACAGAAATATTTCTATCCTAAATTAGAAATATTCATATTTTGTTCCGTCTCTTCCTGTCCCCTTATCTAAGGTTGTCAAGAAAGCTGATCTGGTACATAAAAACATGGTGCAGCAATTGCAAGCAGAGAGAGCTGCACTAGCTCTTAGTAAAAGCCCTTTCATTGTACATTTGTACTATTCGTTGCAGTCTGCCAGTAATGTTTACCTTGTAAGTATATGCTTTGTTTTTGTCAGGTGCATTTAATCGTGAGAAATAACTGCTGTGTTATAAGTGCTTAAAGAAGGTTTTTTTTTAAATATAACTGCAGTTTTTTTTTTTTACTATAACTGTATGGTGCTATTAACTTCAATAAGTGGACCAAGTTACTTCGCAAACATGTGAAGATGAAGTGGACAGTTGAAATGAAAAAGGACTAATTAGGAAGGTTGACTCTGTACTTCCTCAGAGTGTTGACTTTTTAAGAAAGGTCTCAAAGGAAGACGGGAAGAGAAGAGGTTAATTAAGGGAGTTCCAGAGAGTTAGACCCTAGGTGCTGGAAGTATGGCTGCTAATGGTGAGTGAAGGGAATATAGGTATTCAAAACAGACTAGATTCAGAGAATCAAGATTGATGTTGTCTTGGTAGTAGCAGGAGTGAAACCCTTGGAATTTTTTGCAGATGTGCATTTAGGCTTTTGGGGAAGGGACTAATGAAATAGAATATATTGGCTGATGTAATCTTTATTTTTATAAAGATCTGCACAGTTGCTAGACATGGAACTGCTTTACTTTATGCTACTAAAGATAAATACAAGATGCAACAGAACAACACACAAGGCAAGGGAATATGTGGTGAACTGTAAGACCCTGGGTAGCACCAAAGATCAGACAGACCTTGGTGTGTCATTTAAGATATCAGGACAGGTGGATAAAGTGGTTAAGAAGGTATGTGGTAAAACTGCCTTCATTAGTTGAGGCATAGATTTTAAGAGCAGGAGGGTAATGTTAGAACTGTATGTAACGTTTAGCCCACAGCTAGAGTATTGTGTGCGGTTTTAGAATCTACATGAAAGGAGGATAGTTGTAGCACTGGAGAGGGTGCAGAGGAGTTTTCCAGGGTGTTGCCTGGACTGGAGAGTTTATGAAGAGAGTTTGGATTGATTCTAGCTGTTTTCCTTTGAGCAGGGGCATAATGGAAATGCATAAAATTATGAGGGTGCATAGATAGGGTAGACAGGAAGAAAGTTTTCCCCTTGATGGAGGGATCAGTGACCAGGGGTCATGGATTTAAGGTAAGGGCAAAAGGTTTAGAGGAGATGTGGGGGAAAACTTCTTCACCCAGAGGTTGTTGGGAATCTGGAACTAACTGCCTATGAGGCAGAAACCCTCTTAACATTTAAGTTTTTAGATATGCACTTGCGATGCCAAGTCATACGAGGCTACAGGCCAAGTGCTGGTAAATGGAATTATAATAGCTAGATAGTTGGTTTTGACTGGTGAAGATATGCTGAGCCAAAGGACCTTTTTTCTTTGTTATAGATCTCTGTGACTCTATTACTTTCTGACTAGCTTCGTAGGCAAAGACAAAATAGACCTATCCTTTTCTTTCCCTCAGGTGATGGAATATCTTATTGGTGGGGATGTGAAGTCTCTGCTTCATATTTATGGCTATTTTGATGAAGACATGGCCGTAAAGTACATCTCCGAGGTTGCTGTTGCTTTGGATTATTTGCACAGACATGGTATTATTCATAGGTACAGTAACACTGAAGTAACACTTATCACGTGTAATTATACATAGTCATTGACTTGTCTTATTTATTTCATTGTGCCTAATTTTATTTCAAACACTGTTGTCCTTGAATACGGTTGCACGTGGTTTAAATTACCTCCAGTATTTTGTCCAGTTATGGACTTTCTTTAACCCTGAGCCAAGCTAATGAATGCTGTTATGGTAAATAATTATGAAAGACAGTGTAGTAATGTCAGGTCTGTGTTCCAGGTTCAACTCCCACTTAGGACTTGAACCCAAAAATCTAGGCTACACTCCAGCACAATGAGATAGTATTAAATTGTCAGAGACGTTCTGTTTTGAATGAATTATTAAAAAGAAGTTCCATCTATCTCCTCGAGTGGATGTGGAGCTATTGTAAGGAAGAGCAAGCAAGTTCTCTGGTGTTTCCTAGAGCCAAGATTTATCCTTCAGTCAACTTCATAAAATAATAGACTGTCCAGTTATTATCACATTTTTGTTAGATGGAACTTGGTGCGCACATATTGCCTGCTGTGTCTTCTACGTTGACACAGTGATGGTCCTTCAAAAAGCACTGGCAGGTGCTTTGAGATGTCCAGAGTTCATGGCAAGCACTACATAAATGGAATCATTTTCTGCTCTTTTTATCCAAACACCTTGTTTTGCTCTAGCAGCCACTGATTGTTGAGAGAAGGTGGAAAGTCAACTGTCTTTTCCCCTTTGTTTATTAATACAAACATCTTGAGCCACAATGTAGTACCCTTTATAACCTTCAGTTCAATTCTTTAAAAACCTCTCTAAATTTAACCATGTCTTGTCCTGCAATTCCTCTCCTTTGCCCCTTTCTGTCCACATTGATATCTTGTGCACCCTGATTCCTTCAGTCCACTGTTGGCTGCCGCATCATTTAATTACTTCCCTAAAGCCTTATAACTTTCTCCTTTTAAGACCCTATAGTCAATCCTACCTTCCTTTGTCTTATTTGACTTGACGTCCTTTTTCCTTTGATTATGTCTGGATGGAGTGCCATGATGTTTATTTCTGTATTTGAACATGCTGTATTATACAAGTAGTTGTAATATGCCAAGACATCAGGGGTAAAACTGTTGATGCACACAATATTGTAGATACTTCTGTTTAAAATAAACCATGCATGACAATATTTGTTATACAAATGTCAGTTATCTGTGTCTTCAATTTGCTGCTAACTGGTGATTTATACTTTTTCCTAACTGAAGTATGAAACTGGATATCTGTTCCATTGAGTAGAATATTTAGTTGTTTTCCTGTGTCCTATCCTCTGCTGAAGTGTAGATCTGAAGATGCCAGGTGCCTGACCTCTGAGCTTTCATCAAGTATGTTTATGCTCTCTTGAATTAGAAGCAGCAACGTGCCACTTGGCTCTTTGAGCCTGCTCTGCAATTCAGTACATTCATGACTGATCTAAACTCCAGCAATTACAAGCCCAGCCTCTCCAAGCTTTCCTCATAAGACAAAACTGCACTCCCGCCTCCGATCCAGGTATTAGCCTAGTAAACTGCCTTTGAACTGTTGCCATTACAGTTGCATCTTTCCTTAAATCTGTTCTCACTAATACCCTGTATAATCAAAACCTCCTACATTAATATTCGTTTCCCCTCAGATTAAATGATAACATTCTATTAGCTTTCCTAATTACTTGCTGCACCTACATACTAATTTTTTTTGATTCGTGCACGAGGCAGATCTGTCTATATCTTCGAGCTCTGCCATTTCTCACCATTTAGACAGCACTGTTGACTTTCATCTTCTCTGTTTGATTTACCACATCTTGGTTCAAACACAGACAAAAGGGTTGAATTCCAAGGTGAGCTGAGAGTAATTGGACTTGACGTCAACGCACATTTGACCACTTATGGTATCAAAAAGCAAAACGGGAATCGAGGGGAATGGGAGGGGGGAACTGTCCGTTAGTTGGAGTTGGAATCATACCGCATGGAAACAGACCCTTCAGTCCAACTCATATCTGGTCGGCAAGGATCAGTGTGACCTAGTCCCATTTGGCCCATATCCCTTTGAACCCTTCCTATTCATATACCCATCCAGATGCCTTTGAAATGTTGTAATTGCACCAGCCTCCTCCACTTCCTCTAGCAGCTCAGTCCACACACGCACCACTCTCTGTGGGGGGAAAAAGCTGCCCCTTAGGTCCTTTTAAATCTCCTCCCCCTTATCTTAAACGTGTCCTCAGGTGGCTCCCCCACCCTATGAAAAAGACCTTGGAATTCAACCCTTTTGTCTGTGTTTGAACCAAGGTGTCGTAAATCAAACAGATTTCACCAAATCCAAGCCCCTCATGATTTTATAAACCTCTATAAGGTCTCTCCTCAGCCTCCGATCAGTAGCGAAAAAAGCCCCAGCCTAATCAGCCTCTCCCTATAACTCAAACCCTCCAGTCCTGGCAACATTCTTGTATATTGTTTCTGCACCCTCTCAAGTTTAACAACATCCTTCCTGTGGAAGGCCAACCAGAATTGTACATGGTATTCTATTGGCCTCACCAATATCCTGTACAGCCTCAACATGACGTCCCAACTCCTATACTCAATGTTCTAACCAATAAAGGCAAGTGTGCCAAATGCCACCAAGTCTACCAGCGACCCTCCTTTCAAGGAACAATGTACCTTCACCCCTTGGTCTCTTTGGTTGGCACCACTCCCTATGTTTCTAACATAAAGTGTATATGTCCTGCCTGGTTTGCCTTACCGAAATGTAACACATCTCGTTTATCTGCCACGCCTCAGTCTACTGGCCCATTTGATCAAGGTTCCATTGTACTCTGAGGTAAACTTCTTCACTGTCCACTAAAGCATCTACTTTGTTGTCATCTGCAAACTTATTAACCATACATTCTATATTCACATTCAAATCACTTATATAAATGATGAAAAGCACTAATTATTGTGGTGTAAACACTGCTGGTTTCAGGCCTCCAGTCTGAAAACCAACTCTATCACCACCCTCTGTCTCCTACCTTCAAGCCAATTATCCAGTTGGCTTGCTCCCCCTGGATCCCATGTGATATAAGCTAACTAACTAGTCTATCATGCGGAGTCATGTCGAATACTTTGCTCAAGTCCATATGGACAGTGACGAAGACAATGTTCTTTATCACATCTTCAAAAAAACTCAATCAAGTTAGTGACACACAAGTTTCTATGCACAAAGCCATGTTGACTACCCCTAATCAGTCCTTGCCTTTCCAAATGCATGTAAATCCTGTCCCTCAGAATCCTCTCCAACAACTTGCCCATCAATGAGGTAAGGCTCACCGAGTCTGTAGTTCCCTGGCTTTTTCTTAATGCCTTTCTTAAGTAATGGCACCACATTAGCGAACCTCCAGTTTTTGGCACCTCACCCATGGATGTTGCTGATGCAAATATCTCAGCAAGGGGCCCAGTAATCTCTTCCCTAGCTTCCCCACAAAGTTCTGGGAAACACCTGATCAGGTCCAGGGGGTTTATCGTATCTTTTTGCATTTTAAGACATCTAGGACCTCCTCTTCTGTAAGACATCTTACAGAAGTCTTTTCAAGACATCACTTTTTATTTCCCCAAGTTCCCAAGCTCCCATGCCCTTCTTCACAGTAAATACTGATGTGAAATATTCTTTAATATCTCACAAGTCATTAATTTATTGAGGTTCTACTTCTTAATTTGCTGCCTAGTTCCTCATTGTTTATGCTGGACCTCTGCTTGTCCTGTCATTTGTGCCTCTGTGGATTATAAAGAATGGATCTTCCACCTGTCACTGTAAGTTCCTTTCTAACCCTAAGCAGATGTCCTGAACCTTGGCAATAGACAGGCAGGCAGCGCAGCCTTCAGGACTTTTGCATTTTACGGTAGAAAACAGTGTCAATCCCCTTACTATACTGTCCCCTATCATCGCAGTATTCTTTTTAGATGGTTAGCATTGGCAAGTTATAATCATGATTTTGGAGGTTGGAGTGTGTGGGTAGCCTTGTATTAGTCAGTGTGGGGTGAGAGTGAGGGCAGTGGGTGGGCATCACAGTTGTTACCAACATGGTCCTCAACAAATGGGGTTTCTGTAGAGTAATATGGATTGGAACTGCTTAACCAGCCTCATGAAGTCAACTGTTGTCATAGCTTAAATCTCCCAGAACTATGCATAGCTGGACATAGCATAACAGAATATTAACATTCCATAACTGCAAAAAATATTGCCAATACAGGAAAATTCAGTAATCTCGAGGGGCTACATAATCACCTACTGCACTTATGCATGTTTGTCTGATTTTGGTGCTCACCAATTGGGAAGAAACTTGCTGTTGATACTCAATGCTTTTTTTGTTTGTTGTTGGACTGGGTGTGTGAAGAGAAAAGTAAAGGTGATTAGGTGCAAATCCTGACCAAACCTCCATCCACCAAGACAAGATATGGTATCTCAGTTAAGATCAGTAACAATGGAGGATAAAAATTAGGAGATTTATGGCTCATCACCACACATGATATACTTCTAGCATAGTTCCTTGGCACAGCATAGAAAGATGATAAAGGTGACTGTAAGGAGTCATTTTTACCTCTTCTTTTGAATTATAACACAACTTGACTTTTCTTTTTTTAAGAGATCTGAAGCCGGACAACATGTTGATTTCAAACCAGGGCCACATCAAATTAACTGACTTTGGCCTCTCCAGAGTTACTCTGAACAGAGGTAGGAACAAATGGACTGTTGTAAAATGTTGTATAATTTAAATCTAGTACTTTACTAAGAAACAAATGGGACTGTCCTGTACAAGCATACAAGTTAGGAGCAAGAGTAGAACATTCAGCCAAATGTGCCTGCTCCACCATATGATAGGTGTATGACTAATCTGATTGTAACTTCAACTCTGCCTTCTTGCGTAGTCCTTATATCCTTTCACTGCCTTGTTAATCAAGAAGCTATCCCACTCATTCTTAAGAATATTCAATGATCCTGCCCTCCACTGGTCTCTGGGGGAAAAAAGTTACAGAAACCCTGTGAAAGAAAAAAAATTCTAATCTCTCTCAAGTGGGGGACCCCTTATTTTGAAACTCTGCCCCCTCATTTTAGTTTCTCCCACAAAGGGAAGCATCCTCTCGGCATCCAACCTATCAGATCCTCTCAGGATCTTGTGTTTTAGCAGGGTCATCTTCTCATTCTTGTAAAATCCAATTTATACAGGCCCAACTTACTTAACTTTTTGCTCAAACCCTAAAACCTCACCCTTGTGCAAATCCCTAGAATCAGTTAGTTGAATCTTCTCAACTGCTTGTAATGTAATTCTTCCTTTAATAAGTCGACCAAACTTCACTGTACTCCACATGTTGTCTTCGTAATGTTCAGTACTATGTTAGTAAAATTTCCCACCTTTACATCCATTTCCCTTGCAATAAGTGTCAATATTTGCCTTCCCAATCACTTGCTGTGCCTGCATATTAGTATTTTGTGATTCATGTACCAGGATAGATCCCTCAACTCTGCAGTATTCTTCAATCTCTCTCTATTTAAATAATGAGTTGCTGTTCTTTTCTTTGTATCAAAGTGGGTAGATCACATTTTCCCACATAGTTTTCTGTTTGCCATGTCTTTGCCCACTCATTTAACCCACCTATAATCATTTTTGCATACTGTGTTCTCTTCACCAATTGCTTGCCTGACTATCTCCATGTCATTGGAAAATTTAACAACCGTATGGTCAGTCCCTTTATCCAAGTCGTGTATTAATATAAATTGAAAATGTTGATGATTCGGCACTAATCTATTTCTGGCACGCCACTTGTTCTATTTTGCCAACCTGAAAATGTCTTATCTACATTATGTTTTCTATTAGATACCCAATCTTCTATCCTTGATATGTTATCCCTATCCATGAGCCCTTATCTTGTGTAGTTACCTTTGATGTCACATGCCATCTATAGGTTCCCCTTTGTTCACGTTGCCTGTTAGTACTTGAAATAAAACTAATACATTTGTCAAAAATGTCACAAAAGCATGTTGAGTCTGCCTGATTACATTGAGATTTTCTAAGGGCCTGCGATAACTTCTAACAGATTCCAGAATTTTCCCTACAACAGATTTGGCTAACTGACTTATTGTTTCCTGCTGTCTCCTTTTGTTAAATAGAAGATTCACAGTTGTTATTTTCCAATCTGATGGGATTTTTTCAGAATCTAGGGAATTTTGGAAAATTAAATCCAATGTCTACTATCTCAGCAGCCTTTTTTTATAAAGATAATAGGATGCTGTCCCGTCAGAACCTGGAGGCTTGTCAGCCATTAGTTTTTGAAGCACCCTTTTCCTAATTTTTTTTTTAAAGCTGTTCCCTCCCTTCTACTACTTGATGTACATTAATTTTTGGCATGTTATTTATTTCTTCTGCAATGGAGACAGACTGAAAATACCCTTTCAATTCATCTGCAATTTCCTTATTTTCTACTACTGGCTCTCTCATCCCTTTCTAGAGGACCAATTTAGGTTTTTTAAACTCTCCCTTTTAAATACTTGTAGAAACTCTTTGTTAATATTACTATCTAATCCTATTTAACTATTTTGCTGCAATGCATTGTGAAGATGGTGTTTATTTTTATGTAGTTTTGATTGCAGACTTAAATGAGGAACATAGGAGTAGGAGTAGGAGTTGGTCATTCAGTCCTGTGTATGTGTTATACCATTCAATCACATCGTGGCTGATCTGCAGTCTAACTTACCCCATCCTTAATTATAGACTTCCACAATTTTCCTACCACAGATGTTAGGCTTACTGGTCTGTAATTCCCTGATTTTCCTCTTTCGCCTTTTTTAAAAAGCGGTGTGACATGAGAAAAGAAATGTTTTAAAAAAAATGGTTTGGTTAAGGGTTACTGCATTTTGTTTTAAACAAGTAACCTGACGCTCATTGTGAGCACTGTTTATACAGCTATTGGTTCCAGCAATATTAGGAGAAAGTGCAGATGACCTGGAATCAAGGGTGGTAAACCTATGGAGATTTATCTGGCAACAAATAGCTGATTGATTGGCTGTGTACTAGTGACCAGTTATCAATGACCAAGGTCTTCTGCCTTCCAACAACTATGTGATTGGTTCTCCAGTAGCTAAAGAGCTTGGGGTTGTGAACAATATACGGAGAAACCAACCAATCTCCACCTGTTTAGGATCTCTTATCTCTGCAGTAAAAGCTGCTTCATGCCTGATGAAAACCAGTTTATTTTTTCTTCAGTTGTTGTAAGCTGGGACAAGTAATTAATAAGTCAGAGACCTTTTTATAATTGAGTCAGCCACTCTGAACTTCCTGCAACTCATTGAAAGCATCTGGAGAAGGAAGACTGCATTCTGATCAGAATGCAGAGCCATCTCAACAGATGCTGTGAAAATGCTTTTCCAGTTTTACCCTCGACCCATAACATTTTTTTTTGCCTATGCTTGTAAGGCAGATTTTAAGGGGATTATAGTGTTAACCAATAGAATTATATGCTGATTAATCAAAATTATTTACCTGTAGCTAGTGTTTATTCACTTGCAGTTAGTAGTAAATTCTTTTGAGTATAGAAGCCTGGTCTGTGGTCTCTGTCAACCTCAGTCTGGATATCAGGTAAATTGCAAAATTTTGCATTTTAAATATTTAACTTCTATGATGGTTCCCAGAATAGCAGAACTTGATTTTCAGCACAATATCCCTGAGGCTTTACTGCGTAATTTTAAATTTAAATTTAAAAAAATCTAACTTTCATACTCCAATTAAGGCTATTTTGATCTCTACTCTTTGTTTTTGTCTCAAGAGATAAACATAATGGATATTCTCAACACACCATCCATGATTAATCCAAAACTGGATTACTATCGTACTCCAGGCCAGATCTTGTCTCTCATCAGTTCTTTGAGCTTTGTAAGTACTGATTCTGCCATGAGTACTGTAAGAGATGTTGATTCTTATTTCAATTGTAACATTCCAATATATGATCTTTTATAAAAGTTCAGAGAACCAGTTGCCATTTTTTTTAGTTCTGATTCTTGCTAGCAGATTATATTTTAACAGTCTTCTCTATAGTAATGAAGGCACAAAATATTAGGAAATACATAGTCAACATCTGACCAGAATAACGGTTAAGATTTGGTGAAGTAAAACTGTATTGGAACACTCTAAACTGCTGCTTACCTTGTTATTTTTTTCAAATTAGCATGTGACACTGTGGAATAAAACACCTGCAGTAATATTGTCAACTCTGCACTTTCAGTATTATGGGATGTGAAAGCACTTTTCTTTTCAGATTTTATAATAGTGCAATGCTGAAGGAGTATTTTGTCAAAATCCAATATTAGACTGCACTGTCATTCTGTCATTGGTTGGAAGGTGCTCTAGTCAAAATTTATAACTTAACCAACATCAATAAAATTGCCTTTTCATTGTCACGTTGGTGTTTCTGAAATCTCATCGTGTGTGCAATGCCACTATGTTTTCTTCAATTCTAACAGTGATCTAACAGAAAACCAGTATTTTCCAAATGCTTAATTGTCTGAAATACCCTGGGAGGTTCTGAAGAAATCAAATGTAGATGCATATTTGCTTGTTGTTTCCATGTGTTAAACTTAGCAGAATTATAATTAAATTCTGAACTAAAATAAGATTGTGTGCAGTTGTCAGCCTCAAAAATCAAAAATACTACAGATGCTGGATATCTGATATATCTGGAAATAACTGGAGACAGTTCCAAAAAAAAAGTCAATTGGTCTTGAAATGCTAACTCGGTTTCTCCACAGATGCTGCCAGATCTGCTGAGTTTCTCCAGCACTTTTTTTAGGGTTTGCCCATTTTAATAGTTTAATGTGTTGTAAACATTCTGAACATCTAACATTTCCTGTCCTTAAATGTCTTATTGTTTTTGCCACTCTTCAGTCACATTGCTCATCTTTCATTGTTGCTAAACATGTAATAAATAAACCCAGATTTTCTCTTGTAACGGAGTAGCCTGGCCATGTGTTAGAGTCAATCTCTGATCACCATCAACTCCAGCATGCCACCACAAACAACTCCTGTTTATCATGAAGCACGTGTTTACTAATGCCAAGTTAATCCAACACATGCAAGTTGCGTTGGCCCAATGTTTTACATATGGATTTTCCTTCGATTTCCACTTGTTTGCTGCTGTCTTGCTGACTTTTATCCATTCCAAACTATAACTGAGCAGTCATCTAGTCTTGTCACTTGCAAGTCCTTGCAACTGTCTTCTTTGATACTTCTGTATGATTACATCATGTATTCTTCCTCTCACACTCCCTCCCATTTCATTTCCTTCTCTTGAGCATTCACCTTTACTTCAACTCAACCTTCATAGCCATAAACCCCTCATGTTTTTGCATTCACCCTAAACTTTCACCACTTAACTGTTCAACCTAAGCTCCTACAGAACTGTAATTTGTTAAGTATAATTTGTCTGCCTGGCTTAGTGAGTAGCAGTTTGTCTCTTTAGTCATAGGATTTATGGTTCAAGTTCCGTTCCAACACAAAAATTAAGGCCTGTACTCTTATTGAAGTATTCTGGGTGTTTGCCAGTTTGATGAATCTATAGAACTATTTGAAGATCGGAACCAAGAGTGGAATATGTTGGGGGACAAGGAAACATTTAAATTTGAGGTTGGAAGTGGTGCTTAATTGCAGGACTGTTTGTAGAGAAACTAAGGTATTTGATGGAAAATGTGACATTTTATGTAGTTGAGAGTGTTTTATTAAATGACATGAAATTGTAAGTTTATAGAAGCTAAACTCCAAGATGTGATGACGAGCCTATAAACAGCTCAAATTGAGTGCTCTGTATCTGTCTTAAAAGGAAGACCACTTATTCCAGAACTATGTCACTTGGTTTTAGTTACCACCATGCCTAAAGATGAAATGTCCTCCCGGTTGGCACCTATCCACTCACCTATTCTATATTAAAATAAGATACTATCATTCTTCTAAACTCAAATGGTATAGGCCTAACCTATGTATACATGTTTTTATGTGTTACAAGACCATCTTCCCATCCTGCTTCATTTCACCTCATCATAATTTTGTTCTGTGAAGGAAAAGAGGTTGAAGAGAAATGCAAACAAGATGAGTAATTGTAATTTAGACTTTTATTCTGGATAAATACTGACCTTGACAAGTTGGGCAGAATTAACTATTTCCATATTGTAACTTCTATATCTGTTTCCTGTCACGCCATTCACCTTCAGTGTTCAATTAGTGTTATAGATTCATATAGCACAGAAACAGATTGTTCGGTCCAACTCATCCATGCTGACTGAGTTTCCCAAACCAAACTAGTCCCATTTGCCTGTCTTTGGCCCATATTGCTCCAAACCTTTCCTATTCATGTACTAATCCAGATGTTCTACTAAATGTTGTGACTGTCCCTGCATCTGCCACTTCCTCTGGCAGTTCATTCCATGTGTGAACCACTCTCTGTGTGGAAAAAGTTGCCCCTTGGGTCTCTCTTAAATCTTTCTCCTCTCACCCTAAAAATATGCCTCCTCGCTTTGAATTCCCCACCTATTTTTGCTATTGACTTTATCTATGCCCTTGATAATTTTCTAAAACTCAATAAGGCCATCCTTCAACCTCATACATTCCAGTGAAAAAAGTCCCAGCCTATCCAGCCTCTCCTTGTAACTTAAACCCTCAGTCCTGGCAACATCCTTGTAAATCTCTTCTGAACCCTCTTCAATTTAATAACATCCTTCCTATAGCAGGGCAGTCAGAACGGTACACAGTACTCTAAAATTGGCCTCACCAACTCCTGTACAACCTTGATGTAACATCCCAACTCCTATACTCAATGGTCTGAGCAATGAAGGCAAGTTTACTCTGTTTGAATATAAAAAAAATTCCATGGCACATGTGCATCACTGGCAAGTCCAGCATTTGTTCCCGATCTCTAATTGCCCCCAAACTTAGTAGCTTGCTGGACCGTTTCAGAAGGCAGTTAAGAGTCAATCATGTTGCTGGAAGTCTGGGGTCTCATGTCAGCTAGATCAGGCAAGGATAGCAGATTTCCATAGAGAACATTAGCAAACCAAATGGGTTTTTATGGCATTCAGCATTCAACTTCAGATTCTCTTTAATCAAATTTAAATTCCACCAGCTATTGTGATGATACTTTAACCCATACCATCGTAGTATTAGCATTTGGACAAATGATGACTGTATTGCATCTACTGATTTAGTGTTTGTTTGCAAATATTTGTGACTACTTGTTATAAAATAACAGTAAATTTTGACTGATTTCGTTGAATTGTGACCTCCAAGAGCTGCTGTGAAACAACCCATGTTAATGTAAAAAATGATGTTACTGTTTTAAGTTGCCTCTTGATGATATTGTTTATTCCTGCAAAAAGTTAAGAACATAAGCTCTAAAACCTTCAGATTTTCCCTTTGTACAGTTAAGTGCTTATGCATGTCTGACTTTCTATTTAGAACACAGTAGGAGGAAAGACAAAAGATGCATCACCAATATTGAGTCCCATGATGCGAAACAACATCAGTCTCTCCCTTGGATCACTTTGTTCTCCTCTACCTCAGAGTGCCAAAGCATGTGACAAAGAGCTTAAGACAAAAGGTGTGACTAATGCAAATTAGTATGGAATATCATTTATACATGCATTTACAATGAAACAATAAATAGTTTCCTAACCCCAGATAAATGTTCCGTTTTAGGAGTATATAGTCAGTAGTTCTTTGTCAGATGATGACTGTAAATTCCTGACTGAAAACCAGATGTTGTACTTCATCAGTAAGTGAGTAGGTCTGTAGATGACTGCTAGCAATATATATCTCGAGGATAGCTTTCTAGCTTTGCTACAGTGAGCTGTATGTGAAGCCTAGTATTTTTTCTGAGAAAGGAAGAGTAATAAACTGCACCCATTTGCAATTAAAATAAATGTGAAGTTCCAATTCTTTGCAACTGTAATACTTATTAACTTGTCATCTCGTAATGGTTCTGACTGTTTTTAGTTGCATACACTTAAAGTATATGCAATATATTACACTTTATTTCTCCACTGATTTGTAAATTTTATATTTTCCTTCAATAGATGCTGACAGCTCATCTTGCAGTCCTTGCATGCCAGTTAGGTATTTGACACCAGACTTTATCCAGTCAAGTAAAAGGTTTGGATCATCAACTGCCAGCAGTCAATCCCACTTGTTACCCTCCAGCACAGAATCAGGGTGTTTAAAAAGCCCATTGTGGGAGAAGGAGGTTAGTTTTGTTAACTCCTGTTATTTGTAATTAAATTTTCAGTGTTTTCCAGAACATGCAAGCGTTGTTGAATATAAGGTGGTTATTGAAGTTCAGTCCCTCATTGTATCATAATTAGTTTGCCTTAAGGAACACCTTGTGCATCTCAGTTTTGTGATTGAGACAAACTGTAGTTGTCCCTCAGTTTAGAAACAAAAGCAGGCAATTCATTCATAGAATCTCTACGGTGCAGAAAGTGTTAGTTTGGCCCATCAAATCTATATCGACCCTCTGAAAAGCATCCCACATGGGGTTTTTATCATGGCTAACCCATCTAACCTGCACATCCCTGGATACTATGGGGCAATTTTAGCATGGCCAATCCACCTAACCTGCATATCTTTGAACTGTGGGAGGAAACCAGAGCACCAGTTATTTGCGGTGAGTGTGATTGCTTTATCTATGCTATTCTAAGTATATTTTGGGATACCAAATAATACTGTAACAGCATAGGAAAGCTGTTTTATGCAAATGTGCTCAGAATATCATTTGATATTTGATCATGGGTGCAATGTGGATATCTTAAGTGAATCAGTGCTTAGTGAGAGGATATTTTGAATCAGACTTATGAAAATTATATGGAGTTTGAGTTAAACCAAAATTTACATTGGTTTACAGTGTCAGTTAGCTAATTTGATTACTGGATGTGTTGATGTTTTACAGGTCACTTTGGTTTACATTGGATTTTTTTTTATGATCTCTGCAGGGCACAGAAGCTGTACAGCTTGTTGCTGGAGTGATGAAAACTGGGACAGCTGTTACAGGGAACTCAACTGGAAAGAATGGAGATAATAAAGAAAATGTGAGGATTGCTATTTCTCCAGCTCAGAATGAAACCAGTCCAGAAAATGGGTTCAGTGGAATTTCTGGATGCAATCAGATTCGGGCCACCCCCCTCAACAATGTACTGGCAAAGGGCCTTGTCAAAAAATGTCTTTACAAAAATGTGCGAAGGAAAGAAGAGAAATTTACTTCATCTACAGCTGAGGTGACCAAAGGTGTAGTCAATACACGTCATATACCTAGCCCTTCACCTCCTTGGAGGAATAAAGTAGTGGAAAATTCTGTAAATTTCAACCAAGGTCTATGTCAGACCATCACAGAAGAGACAGTTGTTTCTGAAAATCTACATCTTGCAGCCTGCCTAAGGGACGCTTCACCCACTGTTAGCCAAGAGTATCATGGCCATAGATTTCAAGAGGAAAGTAGAGATCAGCAAAATAAGTCAAAAAGAACCTTTGATCAGGTGGATCAGAGTCCATTTTCAATCAGCTCTCGTCGGAAGAAATCTAATGCTGAGTATAAACGTGGATGTGAAATACCAGAATTCCAGCCAGTTGCTCACACTGGTTTAACCAGGGAAATACGGGCACTAGAATTGGATTCTACAGCATCTAACTGCAAAATTCCTGGTGTAACTAATGGGGACTTTGGAGAGAACATCAGTATACCCGAAAGAATATCTGAGGTTACACCTGTCGCTTCTTTAGCGAAGAACCTGTTGAGTGAACTGGATGAACAATGTGAAAAGGAGGATTGTGGAGATGACTGTAACTGTAGTTTTCAGACTGATGAGAATGACAGGAGTCCAAAGAGAAGCTTGAGTATGTATTCGTCCTCTTCAACTCAGGATGTATCTTGCACAGAAAGTCATTTTGAGAAAGCATTAGACACAAGTTTTAAAGACACTTCATTTGAGGAGCTCGCAGCTAAGGACCATGTGTCTCCGCAGTCTTGCCTCCTGGATAAAATGTTGCCTTTTCCTCAATGTATGGCTCCAAAGCATCGGCTTATAAATGCTGATAGGAGCCATCATGTGGGTCATTCAGCGGACGGTGGCAACAACCTTCAGCCATCATTCCTGGTCAATCCTTTGACTTCATACCAGAAAAAGCCTATTGTAGGATTTCGAAGTTATTATAGTCCAATATGTGAATCTGATTTGTCCATACAATCTAGGATGAGCGTGGATTCTGTAGAGAAGATGGATACATCCCTTTGTATAGGGAGCTACCCACGAGCTGCAACACCTTTACCAAGAGCCCAACCATACAGAGTGACGGGCTCATTTCAGGTAATTTATCTTTTGATATTATTTGTACTGCTGTAACTTATACATTGAAGGCCTGTTTGAGGTTATGTTTAAACAAATTACAGTAAAATAATGATACTGTATAAAGAGCAATTCTTTTTGAACTAAGTTTGTTTTTATTCTTAAAATGTTTCAATTTCTCTTGGATTACTTCACACTGATGTGGAGAGAAATAAACTGGAAATTGGATAGAATTAGCATTACAGGAAGAAGCCATTTAACCCAACTGGATAGTGTTCATGTTCAATGTTACATATCTCTCTTTATCGGCATATCATGTCAAGTGTCTCTTGAGTTGGAGAGGAAACTATCAGAGCTCCTACAGTATGCTTGTGGGATGGGAGCCCAGGTGGCCTATTTTCTCAGCTATTAATCCAATCTTGGAATAAATAAAAGGTGCTCCACCTCTTGCACACCTATCCAGCAAAAATATATTTCGTTAGCTAACAGATGCATAACATGTACATGCATGGTAAGACATAACTATACAGTACAGGTACTATGAAGTCAATGTATTCTTTGCTAACTTTGCAGTTTCAATAATAATTTGCCTGAGTATGTAAAGGAGAGCTATACGATTATATAAAGCCTTTGGATGAGATCTGTACTCGCGCTCTTTCAAGTTAGCATTTATTGTACTTGTAATATGTTCTACTTGCTAGTACTTGGCTCATGTTATATTGGCAAATTTAGTCCTGCGAAATACTTTTCGAGAAAATTGCACAGAATTGCTACACTGTGAAATGAAACCTAGTTACACTTTTGGCACTTTTGTTGTATAAAGTTTTTGACAAGATTTGTAGTTTGGATTGTGGATGAGGTTGTAGACTTGCGCGCTGAGCTGGTGTATTTGTTTGCAGACGCTTTGTCACCCTGCCAGGTGACATTGTCAGTGTGCTTCCTGCGTAGCATTGGTGTTCTGTTCCATTTGTTATTTATATACCTTGTTTTGCTGGGGAGTTGGCATTACTTCCGGTTCTGTTTTTCAGTGGTTTGTATATCGGGTCCAGTTCAATGTGTTTGTTGATGGAGTTCCGGTTGGAATGCCAGGGCTCCAGGAATTCCCTGGCATGTCTCTGTTAGGCTTGTGCTATTATGGATGTGTTGTCCCAGTTGAATTTGTGTCTTTCTTTGTCCTTGTGTATTGAGACCAGTGAGAAGTGGTTGTGTCTCTTGGTGGCTAGTTGGTGTTTGTGTATCCTTATTGTCAGTTTTCTTCCAGTTTGGCCTATGTAATATTTCTCACATTATTTTGTATATTACATTAGTTTTATTGGTTGTGGGTATGGGATCCTTCACGTTTGTCAGTAGCAGTTGCAGGGTGGATGTTGGTTTGTGGGCTACCCTGATATCTAGGGATCTGAGTAGTCTTGTGATCATCTGATATGTCTTTGACGTATGGTAGGGTGACTAGACCAGTTCTAGTTGAAGTCCATCACGTCTGAGCAGCTGCACGTATACATGCACCGACATTGCAAAAGTTGCCTTCCTGTTCTAGACAGGTTTTAAAACCTGCCTATCAGTTTTATTTTCATTTACTTTGTTCCCAGCAAGTGCAAGTGTTCCCATAATTTCTTATTAATTCAGTAATTTAGCTACTGGCACCCTCAATGAGAACAGCTACTTCCCTTCCTCCTTTGCTGACCACTCTCTTAGTTAATAAACAAGATAATTAATAAGATAAGTTAATTGATTCTCTCATCATAACCTCGTCCATTTGTGTCTATCTCAAGTTTCAGCTTATTTGTTTTAGGTCTAGATAAATTTCCTTCTTTTAACTGTTATATTTCTTTTAAAATCTGAAATCCTCTCTGAAGTAAAAGAAAATGGCTGTTCTGAAATGTGAACAGCAATTTTGCACATCCCTAGTCGCAGTTTACAAATTTAATTTTATTGCTGCTAGAGTGGGAAAATATTTTGTTCGGTAATGTTGAAGTTTTGCATTGCCATTCAGAACCTTCCTCTGTAAAACTTTCTTTCAACACTTTACTGTGCTGCTAATGAACCACGATTTAATTGTGTACTAAAACCAGCTTTTGAATTGCTTTGCATAGATCAACTATGATCTTATTGAATGGCAGAGCAGTTTGAGGGGCCAAATGGTCTACTACTTCTACTTTGTATGTTCATATGCACAATCTAATTTCCTCTTCTGTTGATAAGAACTGTGCATTCTATTGGCCTCTCTGCTGTATCTATCTCAACTCGCACTTAAAGGACATTATGTATTTCGAAATATCGACGTTTTACAAAAATCCAAAGTACTAAAAATATCAAGTTTGATAGCATTTATTCAGCAACGGTTAATGTTTGGGTCACTGAACGTTTGTCATCAACCTGAATTGTTTGTTCGTTTTTTTTGTCTCCACAGGTGCTGCCTGACATATAGAATATTTAGAGCACTTTGTTTTTATTTCAGATTTCTAATATACCGTAACTTTGCTATAGGGTTTTCAGTTCATCCGCACCATTTGTCCTTCCCATGAACGCGTACTTCCATTCCTCTTTCTGAATAGTATGTTCCATTTTAAAATAGTAATTCGCTGTTGGATTTGTGGTGGAGATGGGAAGTTGCGCAAAAACAAGGAATCAGAAATCGGACTATTGCAGCTTTACTGAGAATGTTTGTTTTGGGTCCCTAACACCGCCTTGTGACTCCTGTTATATGCCATAGATTATAAGTATTGGGGAAAATCTCAGCAGATATCCAGTCCTCACTTGTCTAAATTCTAGTTTTTATTTAAGTCTTCCACTGCCCTGGCCAAGTCCATTCTATGTTTTGTGCAGAAGGAATTTATGACACCAGTTCTAAATTTTGCTTCATCAAATTAAACTAATGCATACATAACTTGTGTCCTTTTTGTCATAGTTTAACTTTTTGAAGTAATGCAGCAGGTCCAGCTTTTCTGTGTTTGGGCTTTATGAAACAGTCCAGTGACATCCATTCAAGGATTAAAAACCTCAAATTTACCCTCCTCCTCTTCACCACTCGCCGCTTTAGGAATTAGTCTAGTATGTGTTTTTGTGTTTGAAAGGCAGAATTTGTGCCTTGGTGAGATAGTATCTTGAAATTATGAAACCTGCAAGCATATTTCGTGCTGTGGTTCTTGTGTGCAACTGATCTGTTAAATATGATGAACATGTTTTCTTGAATGATTTTTAAATGTTTAGACTCCACTGCTGGCTGCTGTGCGAACTCCTTATAGAACTCCGAAAAGTGTACGGAGAGGCCCAGCTCCAACAGAAGGGGATAGAATCCTGGGTACACCGGACTACTTGGCCCCTGAATTGCTCTTAAGAATGCCACATGGTAAGAGAAATCGCCATTGTCGCAGCTTGATAGGGGTAATTCATAAACAGAAAATGTTAAATATACCAAGTCGATCAGTCAGTCAGATCTGAGAGCCAGTAGGTAACTAAATCCTACAGTTGCTGGATAAAGAGGAAAAATAAACAGGTAGTACGTTTATTTGAGGGCAAGTTATCTGATTGACTGAACTGCAAATAATTCTATTAGAAAAGCAGGAATGTGATAGATGCTATAAAAGGTAATCTCAGAGGCAATGAAAAAAATGTTAAAAAGATGAATTGTTAAGTTAGCCAATGGTGAAAGGCAAGGCAAATGTAAAATGGGGGGAAACCATTGAGGAAGTTACAGGAAATAGAGATGCTTAAAGTAAAACCTGAAAATGTACAGCAGATGTATTTTAAATCTGCAACAAACGTGCTCCTTCCTTACTACCTGATTTCATGCAGAAAATGCAGCACTTATATACAACCAATGAATATCTCAATACATAAATGCTTTATGCCAAGCAGCTGGTGTTTTTAGGCACAACAAAACTACAAAAAAATCTTTTTTTAATTTCGATAAATGTGTGATGTGTGGCCCCTTGAAGAATGTGCTAGAGGATACCAAAATTTCTCTTTGGATTGTATGTGTTTCTTGTTTTCCTGGGCATTACTGTTACACTTTTAAGTTCTGACAGCTGAGCAAAGGAGAGACATAGTTTTAGATGTGCTTGCTGAAAGGTGACATTGGTGTCAACTTGTCCATTTGCGGAAGCGTTTGATCACCACTCATTTCTAAATTGTTGTCTTTTCCTCCATCACAACTTGACTGGGATTGAAACAATAGAACTGTTGAAGGGGAGAATGGTAGATAGGAGGAATTGACATTGCATAACGTGCACTATTGTGTTGCAAATAGCAGTTTTTAACTTGCAGATAAGTTATTTCAACTTCTATGAAATTGGCTAATTTGTCATTGAATTCTTGGAGGTACTAAAAGGAGAGTTTTTGATGCAGTTGGTCATTGTTTACAAACTCATCCATTTTATCAATCACAGGTTAGGTTTGGCCTTGGTTGCAATATGGATTGAGGGAATGAAGTCGGCTTTAATAAATTATTCAAGGAGTGACCATTTTTTTGCAAGTACATTTTAGCATTTTCTGTCAAATCATTGTTATTGGTTCAAAACGTAATGTTTATGCAGCATTATGGATAATGTGGTGGAATGTCACCTATGGAAAATGTTCAAGGTTGTACAGTTTTGCTAGTAACTTTCAAAATCCCAATTTACCCCCAATAACAGGAAATCATCCCTTTTAGGAAATTATCCAGCTCACTTTCTTGAATGACTACAAAAATTCCATGTTTGCAGCTTCTGTTGATATGTTCTAGAGAGTGATGACTCATTGGGATTGAAAAATAGTCAAGATGGTGTGTGATTTGGAGGGGAACTTGCAATGGTATTCGCATGCATCTGTTGCTCTTGTACTCATTGAGGTGGCAGAGGCCTCTGGTCTAATAGTTGCTGTCAAATGTGCCTGGGTGAGTTGCTGCAGTGCATCCTGGAAGTGGTGTATACTTCCACTAATGTGCATTTGTAGTGGAATGAATGTTAATGGATGAAGTGTCAATCAAACAGGCTCCTTTGTCCTAGATGGTGTTGAGCTTCTTGAGTGTTGTTGCAGGTGCACCCATCCAGGCAAGTGGAGAGTATTCCATCACACTCTTTATTCATGTCATGTAGATAGATGGGAGTTGGACTGGAATGGGGGCGGGATATTCCAGGCCTCTGACCTGCTCTTGAAGCCCAGTATTTTTATGCCCTAGTCCAGTTTACTTTCTGGTGAGTAGTAATCCCTCAGGATGTTGATCATAGGGAATTCAGTGATGATAATGCCACTGAGTGTTAGATATGGTCTTTGCCTGGCAGTTGTGTGGCATGAATGTCACTTGCCACTTATCAGTCCAAGCTTGGATGTTGTCCATGTCTTGCTGCATGTGGACGCAGACTGTTTCAGTATCTGAGGAGTAATAAATGGTACAGAACATTGTGCCTAAGTTGCTATTCTGAGGATCTCCTTCAGTGACGCTTCACAGATGAAATGATTGATTTCCAATAGCAAACACCATCTGTACAAGGTATGACTCTCACCAGCAGAGAATGTTTTTCCCCACATTGATTCCAGTTTTGCTGGACTCGTTCGTAGCACACTCTGTCAAATGCTGTCTTTGATGTCAAGGGTAGTAGTTCTCACTTAACCTTATCCAAACAGGAAGATGTATTCTACGTATGGAGCTAATCCCCCAGCTTGGCTATATTGCATTGCAAACATTCATATCCTGTGCATACTATCCTGATTTCTGCAGACTTATAAAGAATTCATTAATAAATATAAGTATCAGCAATGGTTGAACTATAGCCCAGTTATATTATACACTTCCAGTGGTACCATATAAATATGCTCCTGTTGATGATTGCCATCTGCTTATATAACAGCAACCGCTGAACCTGTAATCTTATCACCTAGAAGAAGGGCAGTGAATGTATGGAGTCACAGCCACCTGCAAGTTCTCCAAACCACACCATTCTAACTCAAAAATATATTAACATTCCTTCACTGTTACTGGATGCAAAGCCTGGAGCTTTCATCCAAACTGCACTGTGGGTGTACCTATACTAGCTGGACTTCAGCTATTCAAGTAGGTGGCTCACCACCCCTACTTTGAGCATAATTAGGAATGAATAGTAAATGCTGGTCTTGCCAACAATGCCAACATCCTGTGAATGAATAAAAATAACAGCAAACTGTTTTCAGTATTTGCTCTTTTAATGCAATGTATCTTTTTTATTAAACAGGAGGCAATGGCATAATTGTAATGCCACTATGCTAGTAATCCATAGGCTAATGCTGTATGGACAGGGGTTCAAACCACACCACAGCAGCAGGTGGAATGCAAATTTCACCAGATTGATTCCAGAAATGAGGGGTTTGTCTGACAAAGTTTAGGCCTATTTTCTCTGGAGTTTAGAAGAGATCTATTTGAGGTATAGAAAATGCTAAAGGGTATTGACAAAATAGATATGGAGGGAATACTTCCTAGTGTGGCACAACCTAGAATGAAAGATCATAATTTTAGGATAGGGGTAGAAGATTTAAATTAGGATAAATTACTTCTCTTGAAGGGCCGTGAATCTGTGAAATTCATTATTTGTGTTGTGGACATCAGGACACTGGTGTGCACAATGGACAGATTTTTAATTAGTAATGCGTTGAAGAATGTGGAGTTGAGGCACAAATGAGATCAGCCATGATCATATGAAATTATGGAGCAGGCTTAAGGGGCTAAATTACCTAGTCCTCCCCCTAGTACTTGCGTTCTAATGTTGAATGTACATTGCATACGTGCTGTGTCTCGTAGTACACAAATATGTTCTTTTACTTCAGCTATGAGGATAGATTAGAGAAGTTGGGACAGCTTTACTTGGGAGAGGAGATTTGATCAAATTCTTCAAAATCGTGAAGAACCCTGACTGAAGATATGAGAGAAAATGTTCCCATTCTTAAAATGATAGGGAATGAAAGGGTACAGATTTGTTGTAATTTGTGTAGGAAGTAAACGCAATGTGAGAAAAATCTTTTTCACACAGCAAGTAATTAGGATCTGGAATGCATTGCGGAAATACGGTGGAAACAGTATTAATTGAACAATTCAAGAAGCTTTGGATGATTAGTTTTATTCAGTGAATGTGCAAGATTATGGGGAAAAGGCAAGAGAATGGTACTAAGTCATAATGTTCAATCAAAGAGCTGGTGCAGACATGAAAGACCGAATAGCCTCCTTCTGCACTATAACCATTCTGTGATTCTGTGTAATCAGTTCATTTTGATTGTGACAAATACGGTTTTCATAAAGCATGATTGTGGTTAGAAATGATAAGCAGAATGAACCAAATCGACAAATTGATTCCGAAAGATTTTTACCGATGCAGAATCACTTTGAAGCTTAATATCCAAACAATCAACATTTCTGATAAAGTAAAAAGATACAAATTTGTTGGCATCTGAAAAAAAGAAAAAAATGTGTTTCCTGGTTTTGGAGAAGGTGCTCTGTTTCTAAAATGCCCAAAATATCCTTTCTGATACCAGCTGACCTGATGCATTATTCCAGCACTTCCCCATTTATTTCTTTCTTGGCAATTTTTATATTTAATTTTTAATTATAGTAAATATATTTTTCTTTTTGTTACTATGCCCTAGGTCCTGCTGTGGATTGGTGGGCACTTGGTGTGTGCTTGTTTGAATTTCTGACGGGCATTCCCCCTTTCAATGATGAAACATCACAACAGGTCTTTCAGAATATCTTGAACAGAGGTAAACTCTTTTTTTCATGCTTCTTCAGAAGTGACAACTTAGTATGTAATGTGTTCCTGTTAATTATCAGTTAGGTAATCCAAAATGTTTCTCCTCACATTCAAATAGGCTTTAATTTGGTACTGTTAATAGACAGTCTTGTATGCATACAAATCAGCTTAAATTCAAATATTAGTGAAATCATTTTCAACATGTGCAGAGTGAGAGCAGCTATGTCATAAAAGTTAGCAATGTCTCGGTGTTTTCATTTATGTAAAGAAAAAGATCACCTTGACTTTCATAATCTTGGGGCATTCCTAGACCTATACAGCCAATAGCAACAACATCTTCATATAGCATCTTTTTAACAAATTAAAACATCCACTACACTTCACAAAAGCATTCTAAAATAAAATATGACACCAAGATGCATAAGGGCAAATAACCAAAATCTTGATCCAATAAGTAGATTTTAAGAGGTCTGAAAGAAAGTCCATGTGGTGAAAAGGTATAGGGAGGGAATTATCGAAGTCAGGGCTAAGGCAACTGCAGTCACAGCCTTCATTGGTGGGACAATTAAAATGTGTGATGTCCAAGAAGATGGAAGGAAAGGAATGTAGATATCAGTGTTGTATGGCTGGAGGAGATTATGGAAGTTGGGGCCATGGGTATGGCGGTATTTGAAAATCGGGAATGGAATTTTAAAGATTTTGATGTTTAACCTGAAGTCGGTGCAAGTCAGTGATCGCGGGAATGATGGATGCAATCTTTGAAGCAAGATGGGGTACAACTGCAGAGTTTTGGGTGATCTCCAGCTTACCAATGATAGAATGTGGGAGGGCAGCCATCAATGCATTCGAACAGTCAGGCAGTAACCAAGGCACAGATGAAGGTTTCAACAGTAGAAGAGCTGAGGCGGGTAATGTGGAGGTGCAAAAAGGCAGACTTACTGTGAATGGTTGAAAGCTCATCTGGATTCAAATGGTACTTAAGTTGTGAACAGACTGGTTCAGTTTCTCAGTTGCCACAGTGAGGGAGTGGAGTTTGTAAGGAGACTGAGACTATGGCTTCCTGAGGAACTTTTATTTATTCAGCACTGGATATGTATTGGCGAAAGAAGATATGATCAGGAAGATATGTGTCAAAGACCACAAAAAGGAGAAAAAATTGCAGTTTGCCTTTGTCAGTTACACAGGATGTTATTAATGGTTTTAGGAGCAATTTTGATGTGGTAGAGGCCAGTCAACTACTATTGAAGTGCATTCACTGGTGAGATGCAAGCAGCAAGATCCCACACACAACAGTGGGGTGATGACTAGGTAATCTGCTCTGATAATATTGATCAAGACAAGGATATATCTGCAATTTGAGGGTCTGTGGTGGTGCAGTGGTAAATCCCTGCCGCTGGACTAAGAGTCCTGGTTCAAGTCTCACCTGCCCTAGAGGCATGTAAAAACATTTCTGCACAGGTTGATAATAAAGTATTTATCTCTGCTATCCTTTGAATGTTGGAATCGTTGATATCCACCAAAGAGGGCAGACAAAATTTTGATTTAGGGTCTTCAATAGTGTAGTACAACCTGAATATTGCAATGAGAGAGTTTATCTTTGATTTGGTATTGAAATCTGTTGAGATTTGAATCCATAATTTTTGATTCCAAGACAAGAGTCCCATTTCAAAGTCCTGTTGATTTCGGCAGACTCTGTGACTGGGTTATCATTCCTGATAATTGCCCAAATTGTTCAGAGAAAACATGCCTTTCTGGATGGCTGATAAGAATAGGTGTGGCTCTGCTGCCTTATTCTAAATCTTTATATATGGTTTTGAGGTGTTATTAGCCTCCACTTGACCAATTTACAAGAATATTTGAAGTATTTACCTTCCCGAGAGCATGAGGGAAAAGAAGTACACACTCATTCCAAGCTGATACTATGCTGCCTGCTATTTTGGTGTGGGTGTTCAAGGCACGAGCATGAAGCCTGCTTTAGACTTCTTACATATGCCAATGCAAAATGCCTGTTGTATTCAGTAAAACCAGGTCTATATGCAATCCAACTGGCAACAAAGAGATCATTTTGTATCTCACTTGAGTGTGGACAAGAGCAGTGCTACTCCTTTTGGAACAAAAACAGAAGTTGCTGGAAATGCTCAGCAGGTCTGGCAGCATCTTCCTCAGAACTGACCTGAAACGTTAACTCTGATATTTATTCAGAGATGCTGCCAGACCTGGTGAGCTTTACCAGCAACTTCTGTTTTTCTTCCTGATTTACAGCATCTGCAGTTCTTCCAGTTTTTATTGCTCCTTCTGGATTTTTTCAGTAAAACTATAGACAGTATAGGCCCCGTCTTATCTGGAGTTGATTTTCTTTCCCTATATCAAATAATCACTCCACTGAGGAATGTTGTTTATGTCACAGCCACCTATAATTTAAAGAATCCTTGCCATTGAGTTGCCTGGAGATGCTGAACAGGTGTTCATAGTTTGCCATGTCATTTAATGAGACCTCAGACATAGTATTAAGCACTTCTTAGCCTTAACAAGTGAGGTGCAGTGCACAGTGGAGTCCCAGCTCTTAAATTCAGTTGGATCTTTAACATCTACCACTATCACTGGAACAGGAGGTGGGGCCTCTGTGTAAACTATGTTGAAAGGGCAATGCTGCCTATGTGAAGTGTTGGTCTCAAATTTGTGTTTCAATTGTGGATTAGATATTGAACTGATCATTTAAATGAAAAATGCCAAAGTTTCTTGAAATCTGAAATCCAAACAGAATATACTCAATATGCAGCGAGACAGACAGCATTTATGCATAGGACAACCAAATGAGCATTTCAGGCCAGGAGCCTTTTATTAGAACTGCTGAGTTTAGTGTGCGACCATTTAGGGTGAGAGGATACTTGAATATTGGTCAGTTGCCTGTGGCAATACCCTTTCTTAAGTAGTAATTATTCACATGAATAAATATTAATCCGCAAACTTGCGGTCATCCAAAACTCCACTGCTTACATCTCAACTCAGACAAAGTTTTGATCTCCTACCTCCCTACACTCACCCACTGATGCTGGCTCTTGTTTTAGCAATGTCTCTTTTTAAATTCTAACCCCATTTTTCATGTCCATCCTTGGCCTCTCCCTTTCTTGTCTATGCATCTTCTGCAGCCTTATAACTCTTGACATGTCTGTGGTCCTCCATTTCTGGATTCCTTTGTGTTGTTGATTTTTAAATTGCTCTATCATTGATAGCCATACATTTAGTTGTGGAATACTCTCCTGAAACCTCTCCATCTTTGTTTCCTCCTATTAGATATTCTATGTAAAGTCTATCCTTTTCTACCCTAAATCTCCTGTTTCAATGGTAAATCGGTTTGCTAATGCTCTTCTGAAGTGTCGAGGTATTTTGCTACATTAAAAGTGCTATCTAAATACATGTTGACATTGATTTTCAGAAGTAAATTTATTTTTGTAGATATACCTTGGCCAGAAGGTGAAGAAGAATTATCTAAAAATGCCCACAGTGCAATTGAAATTCTACTGACAATTGAATGTTTCAAGAGAGCTGGATTGAAAGGTTTGACTTTTGGGAACTAGTTGAAAATAGTTGAACTCTAAACAATCTTTTGTGAAATTGCAATATTCCCTATTACAAGGATACAGTATCTGAATGAGGTGTTGTATACGGTGAGGGGAAATGGTCAACATTTTACTGTTGAAAAAAGGTAAATGATGTGTGCCTTTTTTAGAAGTGTAAATGGTCCAGCAACGTGATGTGAGAATCTAATGTGCAGTTAAATGACAATATCTAAATGTCGTCTGAATGACAGTATTTTGTGGGAATTTTGTGTTTTTTCCTCATCTGTATTTACTATTTTCACTCTGTCAGAATAATGGATAATGCCTATAACTGAGCCTTCCACAAGTACACTTGATTAGGTTCTGAACCCACTTGAATTAGCAAGTATAAAACTCTTATAAGTAATTACCATTGTCTGGTGAGACCAGTAACCTTGTAGTTCTTATTTGTATTGTAGACTGGCTGATCTGTAAATTCTGCACAAAGATAATGTTCTTTAATGACTTGTCAATGAAGATTTATTTAAGTATATATTTACTATAAAATAGCCGTGAACTCTGCGGTGAAAAGAGAGTACTTCTGAGAGAGGATTTATGATCACTTGGAAAGGCACAGTTTGATTCGTGATAGTCAGCATGGATTTGTGAGGGGTAGATCATGCCTCTCAAACCTTATTGAATTCTTTGAAAAGGTGACCAAACATGTGGATGAAGGTGGAGCAGTGGATGTGGTATACATGGATTTAAGTAAGGCGTTTGATAAAGTTCCCCATGGTAGGCTCATGCAGAAAGTAAGGAGGCATGGGATAGGGGGAGATAGTAGGAACTGCAGATGCTGCAGAATCTGAGATAACAAGGTGTAGAGCTGGATGAACACAGCAGGCCAAGCAGCATCGGAAGAGCAGGAAGGCTGAGGTTTCGGGCCTAGACCCTTGTTCAGAAAATTCTGAAGAAGAGTCTAGGCCCGAAACCTCAGCCTTCCTGCTCCTCTGATGCTGCTTGGCTTGCTGTGTTCATCCAGTTGTACATCTTGTTATCTCATGGGATGGGGGGAAACGTGGCAGATTGGATTCAGAATTGGCTGACCCTTAGAAGACAAAGGGTGGTAGTGGACGGTGCTCAGTTATGAGTGGTGTACCACAAGGATCTGTTCTGGGTCCTCTTCTATTTGTGATTTTTGTAAATGATTTGGATGAAGGAGTGGAAGGGTGGATTAGCAAGTTCGCGGACGATACGAAGGTGGGTCACGTTGTGGACAGTGTGGAGGGCTGTTCTAGGTTACAAAGGGACATTGATAGAATGCAGATCTGGGCTGAGAAGTGGCAGATGGAGTTTAACCCTGAAAAGTGTGAGGTGATTCATTTTGGAAGGACAAACTTGAAAGCAGAATACAGGGTTAACGGAAAGATTCTTGGCAGTGTGGAGGAGCAGAGGGATCTTGGGGTTCATGTTCACAGTTCCCTGAAAGCTGCCACCCAGGTGGATAGAGTTGTTAAGAAGGCGTATGGTGTGTTAGCTTTCATTAATAGAGGGATTGAGTTCAAGAGCCGTGAAGTTATGCTCCAGCTATACAAAAGCCTGGTTCGGCCGCATCTGGAATATTGTGTCCAGTTCTGGTCACCTCATTACAGGAAAGGTGTGGATGTGTTAGAAAAGGTGCAGAGGAGATTTACCGGGATGTTGCCTGGAACGGAGGGAAGGTCTTACGAGGAAAGGTTGAGAGAGCTAGGGCTTTTCTCTTTAGAACGACGAAGGATGAGAGGTGACTTGACAGAGGTGTACAAAATGATCAAGAGGTATAGATAGAATAGACAGCCAGAGACTTTTTCCTAGGGTGGAGGTAGCCTTTACGAGGGGACATAGTTTTAAAGTGAAAGGAGGTAGATATCGGGGAGACGAAGGGGTAGGTTCTTTACTCAGAGTGGGAGGGGCATGGAATGCATTGCCAGAGAGGGTAGTGGAGTCAGCCTCATTAGGGGCATTTAAGCGGCTATTAGATAGGCATATGGATGATAGTATAAGGTAGCGGTGGAGTTTAGATAGACCTTAGGTTTAGGGTAAAAGTTCGGCACGACATCGTGGGCCGAAGGGCCTGTACTGTGCTGTACTGTTCTATGTTCTCCCCAGGATTTCCTTCCTCCAGTTATTCAACATTTCTCCATCTTCTCTGACCTCTAAAAACAGGCATTTTTATCTCTAAGGAAGGAGAGAGAGCAACTAGTTTTGGTTTTATCTTTTCAGAGCTCAAGAAGCATCCCCTCTTCAAGGAAATGGATTGGGACAATCTGCAGAATTGCCCTATGCCCTTTGTACCACAGCCAGATGATGAAACAGATACAACATATTTTGAAGCCAGAAATAATGCTCAACACCTCGTAGTTTCAGGATTCAGTTTGTAGCACCTGCAGCATGCTGAACCTAAATACCATAAGAGATTAAAGGAAAATATGCTAATTTATATTTCGTAATAACATAAGATTCATTATTGCTGAATGTGTACATATCTGGAGCTGGTGAACAGTATCTTTTCATTACTTCTACCCATATGCAATACTGCCGTCTCAATTTCCAGCTGTAAATTATGTTGCAGAATGGAGGCCTATCACTACTTTCTTGCAGGAAAAGGGGAGAACACAATGGAAATTTGGGATCTCTAAGTTGCTTCTGTTCTATCTTGTCCAAGTGGTGAGAAATCACTTCAACGCTATCCTCAATTGCCTGTAATCATTGAATGGTTCCAGAGAAACAGGGTTGAAAACCTGAATTGAATTAGCTAGTAGAACATTTAAAGCACCTTAGGTGCTGTAATGGATGAATTTAATAACTTGACACACTGCCAATTTTTGTTTTTAAAGCATAATATCTGGAACACAACATGTCCCGCAAACACTTGACAGCTATGGCTAATCTTTGAATGGAGCGTTCAACCAACTCCCATTGTAGCAATATTGGAGTTCTGAAAAGGTGCATTTTGGTCAAGCCAATCAAGTAGCAGACTGCCTGAATTATTTTAACTTGTTTAAACAAGAGATGATCAGAAGTGAGTTTTAAGCATTTGATGTGACTGCCATTACTGCACATTACGAACCTGATTTGAGGATCTTGTGGACTTGCTTATTGACTTATTTGAAATGATTCTGGAATTTAGTGTGGCCATTTTTATAAAGCTGCAACAGACTGCCTAAAGATAGTTTCATGCTTGCATCTTTTAGTTACTCTCCTGTAATTTTCATTTCTTAATAGCATTCGGTGAAATTCCCAGATTTTCATGGAGTTGCACAATGGAATTTGTTACAAACCAAGCACCCTGCATGATCTCCCTAAACTGATAACTCAACTCTCGCAATTAAATGCACTTTATTTTTACAGTTACCAGCCAAGTTGGTCAACAAAATAGTACTTTTTTTAAAAATTACTGGTTATAATCCTATAGCCTTTTTGTACATTTTTGATTTGCTCATTTCACTGTCTCCATTGAAATAGAAATTTGTCACTTATTTCCTGGTATCTTAGGAGCAACTTAAATGGATGTATAAAGGATGCAGTTAACTGCCTCATGCTTCAAGTGGCTTGTGGGCTCTTGATTTATAAGAAAGCTATAAATTTATGTTTTCTAATTACTGCATTGTTTAGTATGTCAAATATTTTTTGCCTTAAGTTCTTTAATAGTGTAACTGACCAAAAGTAATCATAATTGTGTTTTTCTTGTCCTATTTATAAATTGAGAATTTCCAGATCATCCACTACCTTAAAATGACTTAATGTTTATTCTTAATAACTTGTATACTTGAACATCAATGAAGATTTCTGAACGGGCTACCTGTATAACCTGTGTGTGCAGTACAATTAGTGACTTGAATAAAGATCTTTCATTCATGGATTATTGGGTATTTTATAACAGTAAGCTTTTGACCTTAATGATTTAAATGTATTTAGCCGGCATTCAGTGGTTGTGGCTGAAGTGTAGATTTGTCTCCTGTGTAATTCTGTTTTGGAGCATTTAACAACCAAACTGAAATAAGGAAGTGAGATGTATTGTCCTTAAAGGATAGCAGTGAAAAATATTAAACACTTGAGATCAATAACTGAGTCAGTTCATTATAACTTATCTGATTCTTTGTACATTTGTGAGACTGCCACAGGACTTCTATAATATTGATAAATTGGTACTGTAAAAAGCAATCTGTCATACAGTGATTTTAAGAAAGTGTTCACTAATCCTTCACAGGACTAAAATATCCATTTCATGATTATTTAGGTATTTGAAGAGACAAGAAAAGCTGGGATTATTTCCTTAGTAGAGAAGTTAGAGGGAAATGTGATAGAGATACTCAATTTATTTGGAGTTTTACTGCTAGGATTAATTCATATCTCGAGCAGCACAAGTATGATAAGCTTTAAATTTACAATTGTGTTCCTAAATTTAAAAACGAGTATTTCATGGACTCAGACATTTACAGCACAGAAGGAAGCCGTTAGCCCCATTGTGTTTGTGCTGTTTGATAAAGATCTGACTGCACTAATCCTGTTTTCCAACTTTTAGCCCATAAACTTGAGGTCTGTCGGTGATGCTAGTAACATCTAAACACTGCTGAAATGTTGTGTTTCTGACTCAACCAACTTTTCAAGCAACAGGTCGCAGACTCTCACTACCTTCTGAGAGAAAAACAATTCTCCAACTCTCTTTAATATAAAAGATGAGCATAGAAAGCTATACCCCTTGTTATTGACCCCCTCTAAAACATAAAAAGTGCCTTCCTGTCAACCCTATAAGACACCTCTATCAGGTCCCCTCTTAACCTTCACAGCTCTAAGTAAAACTAGCCCCACCCTATCCAATCTTTCCTCAGACTTTTAGCCTAGGCAGAATCCTGGTAAATCCCTCTAGTGAAATAACAAGCATGTGACAAAACTGTATGCAGCATTCTAATTGTGACCTAACCAGTGTTTTATACAGTTCCAGCATAATCTCCTTGCTCTTGTATTCTGTTATTTTTAAAACAAAATTTTCACAGGTTAAACTGGCCCTGGTGGGCTATATAACCAAAAAAAATCTGACAGAGGACAGAATGGAAACTTACAAAAATCAATTCAAAATGTTATCTGGGAGTGATGATTCATTCCAGACCCTGCAGTGCTCACTCTGTGCTGGCAGACTTCAGTACAATCTAGGGTCTACCATTCATAAATTATTGCTGGGACCCCTGATCTCTTTTTGCCTCCCTGAACAGCTTGGGACATACTTTAGCCGAGCCTGAAGATTTTTCACTTTTATGGCTGCTCTCCCCTCTAGTATGTCTTGTCTCTTGACATCCATTAATACCTTCTAAAATTTCACAGTCTTCCACCTTGAAGTCTATACCTGCATCATCCTTTTCCATTGTGAAGAAAGATAGTTATTGAGGTGTTTCAAGGATGATTTGGATTTGAGGCTAAAGGAAGCAAAGGATAGGGGAGAAAAGCAGGAACAAGATATTGAGTTGGATGATCAGCCATAATCATCATGAATGGCAGAGCAGGCTTAAAGGGCCAAATGCCATACTCTGGCTCCTATTTTCTGACTCTATGACTTCCAGGTCCAAACACACAATACCTCTATGGTCCCCACTTATTCTTTTGCTCTTTATTCCAACTGTCTGTTCCAAAACTTAGCTCATTACTCATGTTAGTAGCTTTTCAAAGGCAGAATTTCAGTAATATAGTACAACTATGTGTAATTGACTTTAACTGTAGTTAGTGGCTTCTTCAGTAAATGATTTATGATTTCACAAGTCAATCTTCAGATTGTGTCTGACAATTTTCTTTGCTCCCCTGATACAAGGCACAATGTGGTACTGGCATGCACTTCCTCAGGCACTGGACACTTCCTACTCCTTCCAGGTGGTCATTGTGTGGGTCTTGAAGTTGAGTCACAGTAGCGCATCACAGCTGAGCTCAAGCACATCCTTGACTCTTGCAACCATAAAGATTTTCAGCAGAGATTATTGGACAGCAATCAGGATGGGAGTATTGGCAGATTTCTTTATACCTCTTCTAGTCAACAAAGTAGTGTAGAATACAATAGGATTTAAAAAAAATTATATGGCTCACTAATTAGCTAGCCCATCATTTAGTGTTAATAGCTCAAAATTAAAATTTTAAAAACGAGCATGAGTAAATTTTGCAGCTATCAATGTCGTCTTCTCAATCTGATTATTAGTGAGTGATTATATAGAACGTAGAACAGTACAGGCCCTTCTGCCGACAATGTGCCAAACTTTTACCCTAAACCTAAGGTCTATCTAACCTCCATCCCTGCCTTATACTATCATCCATATGGTCCTTATTACAGAGACTAGCAGTTTTTTTTCAAACATCCACCACCATGTTACCCAATTATCCACAATCTGGATCTGTTGAGGGATTCTTCAGCCAGGCCCATGATGTGGTCCTCTGACTTGACCCTGTTCTCACCTCTGAATTGGGTGCTCTAAGATTAAGCGCATGGGGCTAAAATACAACCTAAAGAATGTTTTAAATTACTGAAAAAGAGGGTGTAACTGCCTACGAGCAATATAAACATGGTGCACAGACTCCACAACTGCGGAATAAACATTTGGCTCACAGCCTGTGAACTATCTTAACGTAGGGTTAGATGGAAGTGCTGTGTGCCACACCTTCCATTTCAGGTCCCCAGTGAAAAGTGGAGACCCCTCCACCCAGCAATAAAACAATGCAAAGGCGTGTCCTGTAGGCAGGTGAAAGAGTAGAAGTGGATGGTATGCAGCTACAGCCCAAGCAGGAAATGCTACTGTACCACGTGGAAGGACACAAGAAGGCATTTCCATGAGGCTGTGGTTGGGGGCCATGGGCTGAGAGAAGTTCTGGAACCTGGGTTATGTTGAAATCTCTCTGCACTGCTTGAGACAGGTGATATATCACAACATACCTGATCATTCTTCAACTGGTGTACTACTATGGGTCTGAGCACAGCCATTTTCAGGCAATGGGTGGCGTTGGCTGCGAGCTGGACATCCACTGCTGCCCTGTTTGGCAATTTCTATGGTAAGGCCTCTCTCACCCAGAATATCTCTGATTCTAGTCACCCCCACTATCACTGCCTCCCTTCTGCCAGTCACTCGAACTCATGAAAATGGAGGTGCTCTCTGACAAAAGCTGCTACTCCTGACAGTGGGAAGACATGATGTGTTGCAAGTCAGCCATGTTCTAGACATTGATCAGGTCCTGATAAAAGACAAGCAGCTTCCTGTGGAATACCTGAAGATATTCACAGTCTATAAACAAGAGCTACATGTCTTAATTTGAGTTCTACATCTGGTGGAAAAAATGGGCTGCCAGGGCATGCCATTTGGGAGGAGGCTCGATTTTTAAAGGTACTGCTGCATCTTAAGAACCTGGTTCTTTTTTAAATAAAAAATCAACCAGTTCAGTGATGTTATTACACAGCTCTGCAGCAAGTAAGACTCGAACCTGCATTTCCGGAATCAGAAGGACCCTGAAACTGGCATTTTATATCCAGAAGTAAGAGTACACACAACTGAATGTTCTTGCCCCCACCCATCCCATCACCAAATTCAGTGGTGAGAGATTAATTTTAAATAAAATGCTAATTTAGTTCCTCCAGCTGTCAACTGGATTTCAACTTCTCTTGGAAGATTAGTTTAGATAGCTTAAAAAAGTAAAATAAGGAAGCACCTTGATGACAAAGGGAAAGAAAGTTGTTAGAATAAGAGTCTAAAAAGATGGTGATATAGAAAATTTAGCTAAAATGTGTGTAGAGCATTGCATGTACTTAACAAAATGGGAGAAGGGCAGGCAATTGTGCAAGATTATGGAGATTAAGGATTGTAGAACGTAACATCTCCAGAAAAGACTGGATGTAAAAATAGCAGACGGAGCAGCCAACTATAATAAAGCAGTGGGGAAAAAAAAACGATCAGCATTTCAAAAATAGAAGCAAGATGGATCGAGATAAAAGATCAGTCACACTAATAGATGTGGGTCTATAGATCATAATAGTGAGAGATATGGGAATATACTGACAAATTTGGAAACTGGGTTTAATGAAAGATCATGAGGGATTTCAACAACCCTGATGTTAATAAAGGGCATAAGAGAATGTGTACACTAGATGGCTTTCTAACCCAACATGTTTTAAACAACAAAAAAGATAAGATTTGCTACTAGATCTAGTAATGGGGAATTAATCAGATCAGTGTTCATTATAGTGAAGAAAGTTAAAAAAAAATTGGGTGGCTGCCTAGCACTAACGTGTCCAATGACCCAGAGGAAAAAAGACCGAAACATCTAGAAAGGCATCGAGATACAGTTGGTCTGTGGGCTACAGAGAAGAGATGCTGCTTGTTTAAAAGATCTTAGGAAAAGGAATAGCAATGAGTGGATGCAGAAATTTACCAGAAAGAAAATAATTACTGCTAGGCCAACTGAACAAGAAGTTTTAACGAAGACACGGGTGACACTTGACTGAGTTTTGGGTGTCTGTAACATTGTGGGAGAAAGACTTGCATCTTTATTTCCAATATTTTCAAGACCATTTTCAAATAATTTTTATATAATTAATATAATTCATGTTTATCTTTGTGTAATATTGTGTTCTTTCGTTAAAAGTGCATTGGCAGCCTCATTTCTGTGTTTGATGTCTGGTGGCTGTAATAAACAAATAGCGAACAGACAATTTTATGGTCTATCAAGCTTGATCTTGCTCTTACATCTAACTTGTACAGGATTACCATCAGCTGAGATTATAACACTACCTGTATAAATATGTAAGCTTAGCTTCAGTCAGATAAACTCTTCCTGGTTGGTCATGTAAGATGTCCTCACACATGGGGCTGTTTAAGTTACATTGTGGGGTGTGGTGGTGGTTAACATCGGGCATCGTCCAGAATAAACGCTTCAATTTTTTGCATGACAAAGGGAAGATCATCCAGGGATAAGAACCAGAAAAGAGAAACCATTTGTGAGCTCCCCCAGCCAGTACCTGACATGAAAGTAGATTCTGCATTAAAAACTGCACATTACTGCCAGTTTAACTTATAACATACTAGCCTGGACTTTGTCTCAATAGTTAATTCATAGAATCCCTAAAGTGTGGAAACAGGCCCTTCGGCCCAACAATTCATGATAATTCATGACAAAGTTTTGCTTCAGAGTCTGTTCATGCCTTAAAGGGGTTACAAGACCCCCAAAACTCTCAATTAATCTTATGTGACAACAAGTCCACTAATATCACAATTGTGCTACTGTCTCCAAATTTAAGGCTTGCATTATCCTTTTTTCAGCACGGCATATAAAATAAGTCACAGAACTCTAGGTGTGGCGTGATCAGAGCAAATTACAGGTTCAAAATAATCTCAGGAAGTGATGTGAACTAATTCAGCCAAAGCTAAATAACCTATTTACTTCACTCAGTGTGTCATGCTTTTTGAACACAGGGATCAAGGAATCAAACAACATTAGTCACACTGAATATTCTTATTAGCTACAACTACGTACATTAGGAACAATGAGAATTTTAACAACTGGACCAGGTCTAGGAATTCTCAAGAAAGGTGCTGTAGACAGAATTTGTAGGTAGAACAGAAAAGTTTGACACACTGGGGTGAATCAATTTTTTTTAAACTAACACCAACATCCCTAGCACCATCTTGAAAAGTCTGTTGTGCACATGAACAAAGCCCGTTAATCCGGAGCTGTCCTGCATGGTTCCTGACATTTGCCCCACAGATGGCTCCCTCTGGGAGTCCTGCTGGATGTGGTGTTGCAGAGGCAGGGCATCCCTCTTCTCTAGGACCAGACAGTGAAGATCATGACATCAAACCATGCCAGTCGAGTCCTAGGTTGTCACCCAGATCATTGCAGCTTCAGATGTCTGGAGAAATGCACAGTAGTGTAGGGAGAATGTCCTTCTCCACTCTACCAGCATTGAGTGTCAACGTCTTCTCTGATGCCTCACACTCACCTCTGGCTGTACGCACCTCCCAACAAGGCTCATGCTCTCTCTCACTATTGGCTGCAACATCTTCCCTCACTCACTGACACCCACTGAAACCCCTGACGCCATGAACCTTGAATACCCTCAGCTCTGCCTATTCACTCATTTGGGATAGCTCCCAACTTGCACCAAAAAGCAAAAGCTGTGCCACCCACTTTCACTTCTCTTATTAACTTAATCTCTTGTTCGTTTCTTGTATTCCAACAGGAAAATAGTCCAGAATAGGACAGAAAGAGTCAGGATAGGTAGTAGCTCAACATTCAACTCCTCACCCATTATGAGGAAGAATCCTGATGCTGACTGGCCTAAGTGGCTGACTGAGTGCCCAAGCTTTTGGATTAGTATCAGAGGCCGCTTTTGACTTACTGTGCTAGCTAAAGGCTCTTTCCTGTGATTTGACACAGGAATGCTGACAACGATGGCAAGACTGCTGGGTTTGTGTCTGTGCTAAACAGCATGACAACACAGCAATATGGTGAGGAAACTGCTATCCCTGGCTAAGGGGAAATGCATAAAAAGACAAGTTGTAAAAAGGCAAGTATGTGGTGGTAAGCGTCCAATTAGATTCAAAGTGAGCGAGCTCCAAGTGAGGAAGCAAACTGCTCGATGATACAGCCTGGTCTAGTCCACGAGCTGGTTGCCTGTCCCAATGGCAAATGGCAAAGCTAGAGTTTTACAATGATCACTGCTGTTGCACCCTGAGGCGTAGCAGTGGAGTGCAGATGCATACTGTAAGTGGATTAGAAATGTGCTATCACGGTCATTTGAGGCTGCCACATGTCAGATGCCAATATCAATAGATGTTGGACATGTGTGGCCTGCACCATTGGTCCCTGGTGTCTGAAATGAGGATCGTTCGGGATAAGAGGAGAGCTGAAATCACTTGGTAACCACTATGACATTTGTAATGAGAATTCTTGGATTTAGTTTGCTTATAGAAGATGGCAGATAGAAAATTGCATATTAATGAGGCAAGATGTGTTGTTAATGTGGTTAACATTAAGTAATCTCCCTTCGTAGACAACTTTCCACTGCCTAGCGAGAATCTCACCTCAAAGCCTGGCACTTATTTAAAGGATGCAGCAAGTTGTTCCCAACACCAAGATAGGTTTCACTGGACTTCTTGCATGATTCTGCCACCTTTCACACCATAGATCATGTCACTCATGTCCTGATAACATTCAACACCATGTTTTGATTATAGATATAAACACACATCCATAAACAATACTTACACTAGTTGTGCTCTCTTAATTTTGATTTAAAAAAAAATACAAAAATACACAGAACCTCCAAAAAGTTTATTTGCGGCTCATATGATAAAAATATATTATTGTCTATCATGCTTAAAGCTATATTCTGTGAATTATTTTCATGCTTACAATATTTTTCTTGAACTGGTGCCCTGGATTTTACCAGAACTCCATTCATAAAACTGGTTATAATAATGATGTGCTTTGATAAACAGGATCACATATATTTTAATTTAAAATCAATATTAAATTGCTATTAGATCACCTTGACACATATTTTCTTCAATTTGCAATTTTATTACAATGTAATTGAAAAAATATTGCACTTACTTTCAAAAAAAGTAATTTGTACAACTATTAACAGCATTGATATGAGTAGACTTCACAGTTGATAATTATATATAAATAAAGTTACATGCAGAGAAATGACATGTAAAAGCTGTATCTAATGGATGAGTCTCAGTACATTAGTGTCAGGTTATATAATCTCAATTTTACCAGTTATTTCAAAAGTGCTGGAGATAAAGCAAGTGCTACGTCCACCACACATGGCTTTTTGCTCAACAATGAACTACGTAAAAGAAGAGCTCCATCTACTGGCCATTTCAGAGGAATGGATCAATGGGTCAAAAGCACTCTGTTCAGTTACAAAAATCCAGGGGTTGATATTATTTGTTCAGTAGCTGCAATGTGCACATAAAACCAATATTGGATCTTTTGAGTTACTGACTATATAATAGGAAAGTATTACCAAATTGCTTCTAAAACATTTTTTAAATGCAGTCACTATTTGCTGACAAACTCAACAGCTAATGTACACATCAAGATCCCACAAAAAGCAACTGAACAGATATCCAGAAAATCTATTTTATTAACGCTGGCTGAATGGGAATGTTGGTCAGGGCATCAGAATTCATTGCTGTTCACAAGTCTTGCTGAACAAATTCCTTGCTTGCATTGTACAAAGTACAGTAAGATGCAGCTTTTTAATTGAATGATTTCCAGCTAAAACACTAGAAATTAAGCACTTAAAATATTTTTAACATTCAGATTTTCCCCAGTTTCCTTCCAAAATCAATTTTAGCTAAATTACAAGCAACTAAAGCGACTTACATTCAGTCAGATACAGCATTTACTATTGAGATGACAGTGCAGTGTTTGTTCCATAAATTTAAAATAAAAAAAAAATCAGGACACTATAATTTAAAGATGATTATTACATTAATCCAGAATTAATTAATGCTGTTTGGTTCAAGTATCAGTTATGTTGTAGTATTTAGTTATGTACAGTGCGCAGGATGATTTTAAAGCAAAATGCACATCATTGGACTATGTTAAGGTAGAACACCACTAAATGAACAAATCCAAATGATCATGTCAGGCCTTTCACGCTCTCCAATTTTGTAGACCTAAGAGTGCCAGGTGGATGCCTAGTTCGGTTTTCTGAAATTTGAGACATACAGGAGATAAAAATCACTTTACTTGCACTAATTTCTAATGAGTAGAAACCAAAGAACTTATTCAAAAATTACCTCTTCCTCCTTTGAAAATACATATGCACAAATAGCTGGAGGATAACAGGCCAAAGGATCGCAAATGCAATAGTTCGGCCAGATACATCAAAAGGCCACCAGGACGATGTCTGAATGATGAAAGCAAACAATACACCAGATGTAATCTTTCATCATTAAAAATCTGATATTTCTCAAATATAAATTAAAAAATTATGCACAATAGCAAACTTTATAACAAGCAATATGGCAAAGTGGAGTGCTAAACTGCATAAATAAAAACTATGAAGTTATTAAATGAAAATATCACCATGAAGAATCATTAAGGTTATTACTTTTGTAAACATTTTTGTTAGAAAATGGAACTCTGCAGGTCAATTTTTAAAACCTGTGTTTCCGCAAAAGCATCTACAATTGATTGTATATTAAAATAGTGATTAATACAGTAATTACCTTATCACCTGCAGTATGTTTAAGCTTTGAATGGGCATCTTTGGACTTCACCTGAGATGAAGGAAAGAAAATAAATGTTAAGCCTTTCTTAATAAATAAAACGTGTACCAAGATTGTAAGGAAAATCATAAAAAAGCTTTGCAAAGTTATCTTTTGTGGAAATTTCAATTATTGATACAACATCACATCAAACTAAAGCAAATTGGTATGGCTAAGTGAATGGGCAAAACTATGGCTTATCAAGTTCAAGAAAGGAAGTGTGAGGTAATCCTTTATGGACCAAAAAGGTATAGATCAGGGCACTTTCTAGATAGTGAGACGTTAAATAGAGTAGGTGTCCAAAGTCACTTGAGGGTTCAATTCATAGATCTTCAAAATGTCACAAACAGGTGCAAAAAAAACCCCAAGAAGGTTAATGGAATGCTGGCCTTCATATCTGGAAGACCAAAGTATAAGGTTGCAGAAGTTATGCTGCAGTTATATAAAACCCCGATTAGACTCCATTTGAAGTACTGTGAGTAGATCTGGGCGTAACACCTTAGGAAGGATATATTGGTCTGGGAGGGAGTACAACAGATTTCCAAGAATAATACCTGTACTTCAGGGGTTAAGTTAAGTGGACAGACTATACAAATTAGACCTGTTTCCTCTAGAATTTAGAAGATTAAAGGCTGATCTCATCGAAGTCTTTAAGATATTAACACGAAAAGGCATGATAGATAAAAATAAACTATTTCCACTGGTTGGGGATTCTAGAACTAGGGGACATAGTCTGAGAATTCAGGTCAGACCATTCAGGAAAGCTGTTAGGAAGCACTTCTACACACAAGTGATGGTAGAGGTTTGGAACACTCTTCCACAAACAGCATTGGATGCTGAATTAGTTGTTAATTTCAATCTGAGATAGATATTTTTAAACAAAAATATTAAGGGAGGTGATTGGCCTAGTGGTATTTTCACTAGACTATTAATTCAGAGACCCAGATAATGTTCTAGGTACTTCAGTTCAAATCCCACCATGACAAATGGGGGAAAGTTGAATTAAATAAAAATTCGGAATTAAAAGTCTAATGATGATCATGAAGTTATTGCCAATTGTTGGGAAAACCCATTTGGTTCACCTATGTCCTTTAGGAAAAGAAACTGCTATCTTTACCTGGGCTGGTCTACATGTGACTCCAGACCTACAGCAATGTGGCTAACTCTCAACTGCCTTCTGGGCAATTATGGATGGGCAATGAATGCAGGCCTAGCTAGCAATGCTCACATCTTCTGAATGAATAAAAAAAGGGCCAAAGGCAGGTTATGGAGTATCGATGATCTCATTGAATGGCATACTCCTGTTCCTATCTTCCTGTGAGTGTTCATCTTGAGACTCTCCTAAAGTTAACAAGTTACAATAGTGCCACAAAAGTCAGGCAATGGCTATCTTCAATGAGAGAATCTAAAAATTGTCCCTTGAAATTCAACGGTGTTACTATCACTGAATCCCTCACGACCAATATTGTTGGGGTTATCAGTGATAGAAATTCAAATAGACTAGCCATATAAATACGGTGGCTATAACAACAGGTTAGAGGCTAGGAATATTGCAGTAAATAACTCACCTCCTGACTCCCTCAAAGCCTGCCTACGATCTTCAAGGCTCAAGTCAGGAGTGTGAAGGAATACACCACACTTGCCTGGATGGGTGCAGCTTTAACAGTCTCAGGAAACTCAACACCATCCAGGATGGAAGAGCCACAAGATTAGACCACATTCACAAACATTCACATCCTCTGCCTGTGACATGGAGTTGCACTACAGAAATTCACCACGGCTCCTTCCAAAACCACAACCATTTTTACCTAGAAGGACAAGGGCTGCAGATACATGTTATCACTATAACCTGCAAGATCCCCTCCAACAAGACTTGGAAACATATTGCCATTCCTTCACAGTCACTGGGTCAAACTCCCTCCCCACTGACATTGAGAGTTTACTTGCAGCAAGTGGACTGCTCGATTTCAAGAGGGTCATTCACCACTATCTTCCCTAGGGCAACAAATGGTCCAGCCAGTGACCCCCACATCCATGAGTGAATTAAAAACAAAATCTTCTTTACACATTTCTGACTCTAAAGAAGCAGCACTCATTGACTGATATCTCCTTCCTTTACAAGTACTGTTTTGTAATTGTAAGTCAGTTTTCTCTCCATTCTGGAGAAACACAGCACATTCAGTACTTTTCACTGATGGCCTAGTTATTACTTTGAATACAGCTTAGTGCAAGTCTAAATTTTACTCTCATTGCTTAATTCCCCACAATACAGCACTGTGATTACCACTGGTATGCGCAATGGGATCCTGCATTAAAGAAACTACAAGCATGAATAGGCAGTGCATGATACCATAATGTATCTCTACATACTATCACTTTTTTTGGATTAGCTTTTACCTGAGAAGCAGTCCTTGCCTCCAACATATGAAGGCGTTCAAACACACTCTGCATGTCCTCCTGGAGTCTGAGTAGTGCTACTGCAATCTGTTCATTCACACTGGCTTTTTGCAGCCTCTCTGAGCCTCTTCGTTCCCCATCACCACCATTACCCAACTGTGTGACCTGAAAACCATTCCCCGATTGCTGCATCCTATTACCTACAAGGTAAACAGGAACACAATTAAAATAACACCCATGTTGGCAAAAACACAGGGCAAACACATCAACTATTCAAAGACCTGCAGTTACAAATACTTCAGTGCTCTATGAAATTCAATAGCAAAGACATTAAACATCAAGTGGATTAAGCAGTTACACAATAGAACTCATCAACATTATAAGATGAATTGTGATTAATTATTTCTACTGGCCAGCAGGACTGTAACAACAGTTAATAAGTGTAAAAATGAATGGAGGTGAGTAAAGAGAAATCTATTAACAGACATTGAAAAGATGTGTAATTCTCTGCCACAAAGAGTTGAAGTATAAAGCATGAATCATTTAAAACAGAATTAGAAAGTTCCTATAAGGGACATGGTAAGGATAGAAGAATGGGGATTACATGAGGCAACTCACTTGGTGCAACACTGTACTGCGTTTTTTTTAAAGAATGAATCTTTGGTTGTGATTGCTGCTAGCAACGCTGCCATTTATTGCTGATTTCTAGTTATGCTTGAGAAGATGGCAACGGGCTGCCTTCTCGAACTGCTGCAGTCATTGCAGTGAAAGTGTTTCTAATATCCTTTCTAAGCTTGGAGTTTCAAGGGTTTTACCCAGGAACAATGAAGTATAACTTGGTATCACCACGTATTTACTGGCCTTGACCTTCTAAGTGGTGAAGGTCATAGTTTAGAGGAAGAGATGCTCCTGAAACAATTATACTTCTGAAGCCAAAGGAAATACCAAACCATGTCCAAAAGTGCTTTAGAAATGAACACTGCTGAGTCAAGGTTTTCCTACTGTTTTAGCTGTAACATAGCACCAATGTCATAGTAATGCAATGGAAATGCAAAGAGTTCTGAGCAATGTTTAGAATCAAGAGCTCCATATACCTTTGTCAACAGGAAGAGAGATTCTACATATTTTCTTCCTCTTACTTTTGGTTTCCCTACAATGCTCGCTCATCAACTACAGATTAACCAAGGGGTTCCTTGGAGTGGGTCTTCAGTCTTCCACAGAAGGAAATTGTGCAAGACAAGGTTGAGCACAAATGAAAGAAGAAAGAAAATAAGTTGCAAAATAAACCCCACAAAATTTCTCAAGAAAACTAGTCCTTGGGACATATTTGTAGGGAAATTCCTCAAATAAAATACTTCTTCCAATCAAAAACATACCTCGCCCCCTCCTGGGTCCATGAAACTCCGTTCTTTTGCTAGTTATCTTCTCTTTGTGAGAGCCACTTCCAACTGGCTTTGCATCTTCACCACCATGATTAACACCACCTTCTCCTCCCAAAACCTGTGCTTTCATTGTTCCAGGTTTCCCAAGGTAGTTTAGGGAATGTTCCAACTCTGTTCTTGAACTATTTGTGAATAGCTGCCTGTGATCAAATTCCGAGCCCATCAGAGAACTGTTAAAATTCTCTCTCCCTGGGCTGCCAGCTCCTGAAATCTACAAGAATGAAGTAAAATAACATGTTTACAGTACTTAAGAAGATCAAATGATTACTTGTGCAATAGTCATGTCTGTATATCAAGTGCAACCCAAGAGAAAATGTTTTTAGGTCCAATTCAATTATTAACACCATGTTATTAATATACGTAAATAGTTAATCATTGATGACAACTAGAAGTAAGTTACTAAAACATAAACAGAGATTTACTATAAGAGGTTTCTGCTGCAGGTGGTGGTCAAAGACAGGCTTGGTTAGTCAGAAGCAGCCAGGAGAGGAAAAAGATAACTTTAGTGTTAGCAGTACGGGGGATACCTGCCAATTAAACAAAACCATTTATGATAGCTCAGTTTCTCATGTTTATGCTTACATGATACCTCTATGAATCACCAATCTCAAAATAATCCTCAGAATAATTATCACAAGGCAGAAAGCCTTCAAAGATGTGCAGGTTAGAATCATAGAATCCCTAAGTGCGGAAAGAGGTCATTTTGCCCATCAAGTCTGCAGCAACCGGCCAAAGAGCATCCCACCGAGACCCACACCCACCCCCTATCCTATGCCCATAACCCTGCAGTTACCATGGCTAATCCATCTAGCCTGTAAATCCCTAGTCACTACGGACAGTTTAGCATGGCTACTTCACCTAACCTACACATTTTTGGGCTGTGGGAGGAAACCGAAGCACCAGGTGGAAACCCACACAGACATGGGGAGAAAGTGCAAACTCCACACAGACACTCAAGGCTGGAATTGAACCCAAGTCCCTGGCACTGTGCCACCATGCTGCCCTATGTTAGGCGGATTGCCTGTGCTAAATTGGCCCATAGTTCCAGGAATATGCAGGCTAGGTGGACAAGCCTTGGTAACTGCAGGGTTATAGGGATGGGTTTGGGGAGGGCACAAATGGGCAGAACAGCCTCTTTTTGCACTGTAGGGATCCCATGATTCTCTGAAGTCAAGGTCCAAAATATCTTTTTAAAAAGCCAATTAACAGTTGTGGATCTCTATAAAACTATCATTTTGGTATTTCACATTAAAAACTAATTGTGATGGGAAAATTAAAAGTGTTTTTTGAATGGAACATCTCATGTCAGATTGATGTCTGTCATTTTTTTAATGTAGATTTCTCCTGTTCAGAGACAGTTTAGTGCTAGTCAATTAAATACTTTCACTTTGTGCATTCATTTGTCATCTCCCTCTGCATTGGTTCGAAAACACCTTAGTCTCAATTCCGTAACACTTTACAACAATAGTCTAATTTTTGATTCCTGTTATGAAATCTGTCATCCTTTTATTATGAACACAACTTTTTATTTCATGAAATGAAGAAAAATTGAACGATTTATTATCATAGACTCCATGAGCAATACTTTAATAAAGAGAAAAATACTATAAATTTAATGGCAGTTGTGGAATTAAATAACTGTTTCAAAACTTAATTCATATTCAAACAGTCTGGACAGTTTTTGTATTTATTGCACCATCCAGTTGCCCAAAATATTTACTGCAGATACAGGCAGCAAATGAGAAATTAGAAAAGGTATAAATAGGTGGTATAAATCTAGAAGAAATCTATTCACTCCAATAAAAAAAACTGAGCTAAAGCAATTAAAATATTATCTTTTTTAAAAGTAGTTTAAAAATGTCTGGCTATGAAAGGCTCTGAAGATTAAGAGGACTAACATATGGATATTTGAAATATTTTACAGATCTGCTTCAATTGCAGAATGGTGCTCCTCAATATGTATATAACCAACTGCTTCCATCAAATGGAAAGAGATGCTCAAGTGGACAATGGATAATTACCTACACAATGGATAATTACCCAGCTCTGATGAAGAGTCATCTAGACTTGAAACGTCAGTTTGCACTCTCTCCATGGATACTGCCTGACCTACTGTGGTTTCCAGCATTTTTTGTTTTCAGCACAGATTCCAGCATCTGCAGTAATTTGCTCCTCCTTCGGATAATTACCTGTACCCTATTGCTCCGCCTGTACATTGTCTTATGGAACAACTCAACATTATTCATTGTTCCGTCTTATCCACTTCAAAATCCATTATATTTTATACAATCACATGGCTTTAATTTTTGAGTGCTGTTCTCTACATCAGCATTTACCTCTTCAACTCCCAGCTGTTCCATTGAATCACAATATATTTCACTGTCTGAATCGCTTATGATGTGCTGAATTCCTGGAAACTCACCAACCTGGCTTTCCATTCCATCTGTACAAATGGGAGAAAAAAACCAAACAAGTGATAAACAGCTGTAAAGTCAAATGTTAATGTCATATTGAGAGCAGAGGTTTATCAAAACGAGAGAGAAATTTTACCAAACACTACTGAAGAAAATGTCTCATACAAAAGAGAGATTTAAAATTATTAATGTAAACTATAGGACTAGTCAATTCCCAAAGACGAAATGGCACTAGATCTGTTAAAAATTGTTTGCTTTCCTCCTTGAAGTTAAAAAAATTATCGTAATCAGGTTGGTGTAACTTGACTACATTGGGTACTTGAATAGAAAGAGATTTCCCAGTGGTTTCCTTTTTGTATTAATTTTTTAAGATCAAATTCAGGAACATGCACACATGCAGCAATGGTGCCAATCCCTGAAGACTTTTAAGGAAGAGGAACCAGAGTACATCAATTGTAAAGGAAAAGGCTACAACTAAGGAAGTCAGAAGACAAGAGACGAAAAAGGCAATTAAACAAGTTTTTCTCTTCCTCCACCACCCCCACCCCCCAAAATATCCTGTCGATAAAGTTAAGAGTTACCTGAAGAGACATCTCAGATTTACAGGGAGAAATTTGTGCTATTTCTCTGTCAATTTGTAATGCCATTTAAGGTCATTGTTTACATAAGAACATAAGAACTAGGAGCAGGAGTAGGCCGTCTGGCCCTTCGAGCCTGCTCCGCCATTCAATAAGATCATGGCTGATCCTTTCGTGGACTCAGATCCACTGTATCTCACTGTTCTCACCGTATCCCTTAATTCCTTTATTGTTCAAAAAAAATCTACCTTTTTTTTAAAAAAACATTTACTGAAGTAGCGTCAACTACTTCACTGGGCAAGGAATTCCATAGACTAACAACCCTCTGGGTGAAGAAATTCCTTCTCAGTTCAGTCCTAAATCTGCTCCCTCTAATCTTGAGGCTATGCCCTCTTGTCCTAGCTTCACCTGCCAGTGGAAACATCCTCTCTACTTCTATCTTATCTATTCCCTTCATAATTTTATATGTTTCTATAAGATCCCCCCTCAATCTTCTGAATTCCAATGAATATAATCCCAATCTATTTAGTCTCTCCTCATATTTAGAGCAGATAAACATAGGTAATATAGTTACAAATAAGCTGCTGCAGCTTCAGAAATTCAAAATACTTTAAAGTTCCAGCTCAATCACCTGCATCTTGTTTTTCCTAAGCAAGGAAGTAACAGATACAAAATAAACCACAATATCTGATGTGATGGACGATAATATGTTAATGGGGTGGGGGTTGGGAAATGATAGTGTGTTGGTTTGGTAGGAGGGGATCTTTGTATGAAAGATCTTATGACATTCTTCAGCAAGTGTGGATAATGGAAGCTTAGAGGAAATAGTAAAGTTAAAATTTCTAAGCATAGCAAAAGGGGAGTCTGTTAGTGGTGTAATTATCATCACTGGACTAGTAATCCAGAACCTCAGGTTAATGTTTTGGAGAATGGATTTGAATCCAACCATTATGAATGGTGTAATCTGAATTAAATTTTTTAAAAATCTAGAATAAAAAGTTAGCTCAATGGTGATTACTGGCGGTTATCATAAAAATCCATCTGGCCCACTAATATCCCTTAGGGAAAGGGATCTGCTCTCCTTACTGGTCTGGCCAACATGTAAATCCAGACCACAGCAATGTGGTTGACTTTTAACTGGCCTTAACTGGCAAGTAGACATGGAAAATAAACACTGCCCTAGCCAGAAAAGACTACAGCCCATGGAAAAATGAAATAAACTAATCACAGAGTACATGAATAATGGTGTACTAATGGCATGATATGGTTACATTGTAAGGTGATCCTTTTAGCTGTAGTAAATCACAGAACAAATGGAAAAACAAATAGCTTTAACAAGAAAAAATTGTGAATTGGCATGAACTTTAAATAACTTTTCTGTGTAAAGGGTTATCTTTTCTAAATTAGGAGAACAGGATCTATCAGGTGACCATGATTGGACCCCCAACAATATTTCTTTCTTTACAAATCAGAATACACAAAAACAATTACCAAAATTGATATTTACTGGGTCAGTGTTTAGGAAATAGAAATATATGTAATGGAAGGTGTATAACTTGTAATTTTTATCATTTTTAAACTTTTGGATATCAGAATAGAGGCAAATGGGTGTTGTTTACTTCTGTGAAGGTTTTGTTTTAAATGAAAACAAAGGTCAGAGAGTCCTTACAGAAGTGTTTAAACCCAGCACTTGTCAGTAGGCAGGTGACTGCAGACCCCTGCGGTATTAATGTTTCATACTATTGGATTTATGAGAGGTAGGGTAAACATTTAAGGTAATGTTTCTAAAATTCAGTTTAGAAAATACCAGAAACAAAGACAGAAATTGCTGAAAAACTCAGCAGGTCTGCCAGTATCTGTGGGGAGAAAGTGGGGTAAGCGGAGTTAAGTTTTTCTAGCAATTTCTGTTTTTGATTCTGATTCCCAGCATCTGCAGTTTTTTCAGTTTTTTGTTTAGAAAATACCAGAGTTGAATTCAGAAATAAGCCTAGTTTCTCTACTAGAAGGCATTCAGGGCATTTAAGGGGCCCAGTTACTTCAGCCGAATAGCTTAGTTTGTAAAGCTTAACAAACATGGAGAGCTTGGTTGGAAATCTGCAGATTATTAGAACTGAAAAAGTTTAGGCTCTCTTATCTGTGAGAAGTTCACTGATTTGTCTCCACAGTCTGTGGCAAAGAAACTGTAACGAGTTAGTCATGCAGAAATGCAAAGAGTTAGGGTGTGGTTTCTCAGGGCTGGAGTCTCTGTGATACTATCAGAAAACAGGTTGCAACTTTGTTTAGAAAAAAAGATTAAAGATTATTTTAACTGCTACTATATACAGATAATTTTGCGTAATAAACATCAGTGGTGTTATCAGAGAAAATCTATACCCTGCGTCAATATGATTCGATGACTAACCACCAGGTTAATTAACCAAACAAAAGATAAAGCAGCATGTGATCTAACAAATTATGTCTCAATCTGGGATCTAATATCATGGGATCTAATATCAGTTGGGATCATCATGTGCATTCACACGTTGAGAAATTCAACATACAATGTTGAACAGGTACATATTAGCTCTAACCGTATGTGTAGGTTAAGTGAAGAACTGCCATTAGTTTGAAATAACAAGGTGTAGAGCTGGATGAACACAGCAGGCCAAGCAGCATCAGAGGAGCAGGAAGGCTGACATTTCGGGCCTGGACCCTTCTTCAGAAATGAAGGGTCTAGGCCTGAAACGTCAGCCTTC